TGAAGGTATAGGAAGATCAGCGATATACGGACTTAGACGGTGGAAAAAAGAATGGTTTCTATTACTATTAGAGATGGGATTTCAGATCGTGCAGTTTTAAAATGTCTTACGCTTATAACCAGTGAAACCATTTTTAACCAGCAGTAATGGTGAGAATTATTAGAAGAAGAAGAAAGTGGAAGCAATGATGTGAAACATTCCATTGGTGAACTCATAAAAGCATAACATAGTGGTCAAGAGTGGACAGCTTCTCATATCCATTTCCACTCATTGGCCATCTTTCAAAAAACAAGGTCGAACCACAATCTCATGGAGTATTGCTTCTTATTTATCGATTTATATTTTTGATGCAGTGTTTGAAGCTTTATCTAGCATCATTTCTTCACTGCCAGCAAGGATTCGTCATCAGCATGTTTAGGATCTGTGATACTATGCTTAGGACTGAATTAAGCACATTTTAAATGTTGGCAAACATCTTTACTCCAATCTTTCGTTTAAATGAATATTATAGATAATATAGCCCGACCAGTCCTAATTTTGAAGGCGTCAATTCCCCCTCTGCTAGTATGAGTCGAATGGTCTCTAGAATCGTCGCATTTCACTCTCCAGCCGCCATCCTATTGATTGAGATGAAGGCACCGCAAAAATAAAACAAATCTCCAGTAACGTACCAAACATACCAAAGCATGCATCCGTTCAATGGTAACACTTAAAGACTTTAGCCCGAAAATTGTCTTTTTAAATTTGTCTATTTAAATTTTGGGAGCTCCCAATTCATTCCAACAGCCAGCGGAAGTGGCATAACAAAAGTGGTTGGTGGTGCTCACTAACCACTTTTTTTACATAATTCGTCATCCTAATTATTTATTTATATTCCTTAAACATCTCACCCATCTACTGAGAAAGTAAAAGATGAAATCAATGAATTGCAATAAGTGATTTTTCTATATTAAGGACGATATTACTGAAATATTAATATTCATCACTGTTTCAAATTGCACAAATTACAATAATCATTTCCAGAAATATTTTATTTGTAAATTTTCAAAATGTATTTGCAAATGAAATTCGTTTAAAATAAGAGACAATCAGGAGAGCAATAGCATTAAAAAAGCTTATTTCCTCTTGAATGTTGAGTGGCACTTAGCAATGATTAACGAAATGCTCTCTAATATTTTATCTCTAAAATTTTTATCTCAAATAGACATTTGATCAGAAAACATTTCGAAAAATTTTCTTTCGAGCGATTTTCGATAGGCATTGCATTAAGTACCTTTAAAATAAAATTCTTCTCATCACATTTGCTCTATGTTTGTCGAGTTTTCCTCATTTTTTCTCCAGGATACACTGGACACATCGAAAAGATATTTAGTCATTTCAATTGTAAATTCATTTTTCTTTAAAATTATTTTTGTCTACTTTATTTTCTATTTGTTTCATCACTTATTAAATTAAGATTATATAAAAAAAGATTAGCGGTTATCACTTCTAGTTTGATTACCTCTGCTAGTTCCATATTAGTACGGTGAAAGAGTTATTTGGCGTATAGATTGGTCACTGGCCTCAGATTTTTTCATGATAGATTTAATATCCCAATTGGTGGCAGAATCCGGACCTGCAGTATAGTTATTATTTCCAATTTTAATTTTGAATATAATCAATTTTTTTTGATTTATAACAATATAAAATATAGGTTTGAGATCCTTTCGGAGACCTTTTTGCTAAAATTACTAAAATTCACTAAAATTTACGAGTGAGTGCCGTATTTTGAAAATTTATTCATCGAAAAAATGAATAAATAAATGAATAATTCAAAGCGTGTTTCCATAAATTTACTGGAAATTTCTTCCAGTGAATCATCCACTTTCTATATTTCTTGATTAACTTCAGTAAAAAACTCATAATGGAGATAGGATGGCTCAATGGATTGCTGCTCAATTGGGAGCGCCGATGCTGAAGTTCAATTTCCCGCAGGAGTAAACCTGTACAAAAATCCGGGTGGTGCTGGCGACTCACCTGTATTTCTATCGCCAAGGGCTCCCTGGCATATTACCCAATGAGACAAGCCAGTAGAGCGAGTTTAACCAATAATGGTGAGGACTCTTAAAAAAAAAAAACTCAAAAACTTAAAAACTAATAGGTTAGTTAACAATTTCTATTTTTAGAACCTTCATCATTTATTCTTATACCTATTCTTATTCTTATCCTTTTTATCGGAGCTTTTCGGTGGAATAGCGCTGTAATAATTATCTTTTAACTATTATCTTAGAAATATCACAAATCACACTTAGGTCAGGAGAGTGAGGTTGAGTGACAACTGATTATCACGGTAATTTTCTTCAATAATTTCATCGTCATAATATTTTTCTTCATTTCAGCCAATCTTAAACAGCGATACTACAGGAGAAATGAAAAAATAAACTAATATATCTATCATATTTTGCATCAAGTTTTTATCAAATGCTCAATTTCTTGAAATTAAGGCTTTTTAACAAAGATTTTTCAGATTCTTCAAATATTTAAATTTTCTCAGATGAAAGCTATTTGTTTTTCCAACCGCAAATCTTATATTCCTCTCTCATTTAAAGAGAATAGAGTGGATCAGTGTTATTACACAAGTTGTTATTATCAGTGTTATTATCAGGTTGTTATTCAATTTGGAGCGCCGAGCTGTTCTATTCCCCACCGTATTAAATCTGTTCAAAAATCCGAATGATGCTGGTGGCTCACTTGTACTTCCATCGCCAAGTGACTCCTTGGCATATTTATCTAGTCTAACCAGTAATGATGAGGGTTATTAAAAAGAAAAATTGCTTTTAAATGATAGATCGGCCAACCAGTTATTGCCATGAGTAATGTGGTAATAGCTCGAGAGATAATTGTGGTTTTTCGGGAATTCGATTTAAAACCAGAAAATTTGAAAATTTCGATTCATATACTATGATCTGTAAGATATTGTGTTATATTTGTATTTAGTATTACTAATTTTCCACATTTTCCAGAAGAAAGAATTTTTCTAAAAATTTTTATTCCACCACCAAACCAAAATTCTCCCATGCAAATAAAATATTTATTAATGAAAAATGGCAAATATCCATCATAAAAAAATAATTTTTGTAAAAGCAATGCTAATAAAAAAAAGGGCATGATTGTGATGTTGACAGTGCTCGATTCTGCAGTCTATTAACTGACATACCTTATTATTTTCGATATTTCATCCTTTATGGTTCGATTTCTTATCTCATATATGATCGTGAGAACAATTTACTTATTTCTATTTAGTTTCGAGTGCAACTTTGAAGTACACTTTTCTAGGAAATATTCCACGAATAGATTTTAGTTAATCATTGGAAGCTACAGTAAAATGGCATTTGTGCAAACATCGTAGGAGATAAGTTTTTTGCCTAAAATTTTTGCATTTGCTTGATTTCCTTTGCATTTCCTCACATCTTTGCATTCTGTAGAAGTTTGAGGTCCAAAAACGAGGAAAATCAAATCAAATTTTCATCTATAAAGCATTTATTTTCCATGTATATTTATTTGCACCTAACACAACTTTCGGAGTCTCTCTATCCAGAATTTTAAATTTTTTTTCTAAATAATTCATCTATAGAAGAAAATTTTTGGTCAAATCTAATGTTTTTTACTAGTTATGGGGTTGTTATATCGCAAATGAGTAAATTTATCATTCGAAAATTGGTCTTGGCGATTCGTTTATACTTCTACCGTTAAGCGACTCGCTGGCAAACAGCATAGGAATAGTCAGCGAAGCGAATAACCAGAGTTTAACCTTCTTTATTTCAAAAATTTCTTAAGAGCTCTGAAAAGAACGGAAAATGAAGAAACCTAAAATAAATATAAATATAAATAAATATAAATATAATATTAAATATAATAAATATAATAAAATATATATATAAATATAATATTAACATGAATATAATATAATATATAAATAAATAAATGTAATCAATTACAAAGAAGATTAATTCATACAAATCAAAATAGATATAAAATTAAAGGTCAAAATACATTGTAATAAAAGAGATTTTTAGGCTAATGCTTAAACGAATGCTGAAACGAATTTATTTATTTTTAAAATTATTAATAGAATTAACAGGAATAATTTGTTTAGTAGTTTATTCAAGCATTGATAATGCTATTGAAAAAATATCAGCGCAAATTAATTTTGCAGACAATTTCAATCCATCATCACTTCCTGTTGAATTATTCAAATCAACGTTAAAATTTTTATCGAAAATATTATTGTAAAAATATTAATCTAAAAAGATTAATTCGTGTATTTTTGGGAAAACTGTGGACTTATATAATTCTAATTAACTTATAAACGGTTGAAGATTCAAATCTTAAAAACGACATAGGAGATATTTTTGCAGGTTCTTAATTAGCTTAGTCGAGTTTTTCAATTTAATTATGTAGCACCTTATATTTTAAAAGAAACCCAATGAATGCTTTCTACGTTTTAATAAGGAAGATTTCAAATCGATTTTTGAATATCCTAAGTAATAGGTCTTTTTCACCATAACCCATCTATAAAAATCGGGGTCGAAATTCCCATCAGCGTGTCCTATAATTTTCAACATCTTACTGGAATTAATTTTTAGTTTATTTATTTAATAAGGAAGCAGAATCTAACTGAAATAAATTAAGAAATACTATTGAAGGTTCGAACTGATTGATACCGGTCAGTTAATTCTATATTAATTTAAGTAGATCGTCGGAAAAAATCTTTATTGAACTGAATGATTTGCTAGAAATTATATCGAGCTTATTATTAAAGCTTTAGCTAAATCTAATAAACACCAATGATCGCTGTGCACAAATCAGTCGATTTTTATGAATTATCAAAATCTTCAGTCTAGAAAATCTGATCTCTTTTCTCATCTGCCTGAAATTTGAAATTTTCGAAGACACCGAAGGCTCTATTATTCATGCATAATACATTTATATATGAATTGATTCTATTATTATTGCAGAAAATGAACTGGTTTCTGAAAAACTGGCTACTGGTATCAACAATAATTGCAGTAGTATTTGGTGCCTTATTTGGATTCATATTACGTTCACTTAGTTTAAGTCCGCAATCCATCATGCTTATCAGTTTTCCGGGAGAAATTTTGATGCACATGCTCAAAATGATGATTCTCCCACTTATCACCAGTTCACTTATATCAGGTCTAAATCTTTTTATTGAATTCGAGCTTTTTTATGATTCCAAAAAATAATCGAATTTTTTTAGAAAGCTCATGTAGAAGTGATTAAATTCCGATAATCTAAATTTCAGTCAAAATTTGTAATCTGAATCCAGGCTCTTAGATTCATTTTGAGATCTGAAGATTTGTATGAAAATATTTAATGTACTACTTTTATTTAGTTTTACTTGTTGTATAAAGTTTTTACTATTCCATTTGTTCTATAAGAACTTCTAAATAAAGATTAAATATTTATAAATACTTAAATATATTACACTATATTATAAACAAGGCATGCTTTGATACACAAGATAAGAATTCCGGCTGGCATCTGGCTTTCCAGAAAAGGTCATTTGCCAAAGGCCCTGACTCACCAACTTTTAATCTTCTAAGCCTTTGGTAGAGAAGTCGATTTCAGGAAGACCCATACCACTTACAGAGAGTGAGAAGGGAAAATATATATATATATATATAAATATTTATATTTTATTCAGGATTAGCACAGCTTGATGCAAAACAATCTGGGAGAGTAGGCTCTCTGGCCATTCTATATTATTTTGTTACAACAGCAGTTGCTGTCGTGGTAAAAACGCTACTTTTTTCTTTTTCATTATTTACCAATATTTGAATGTTAAATTTCAAAGTGATAAAGGAGATGAAAAATTTAGAATGAACTTTTCTGAGGCTTTAATTCTAAATTGTGAATTGTTTGCAGTTAAATTATGATTTAAAATAGGTTTTCCACAAATTCTTTTCAAAACTACATATATATATATTAGTATATATATATATACTAAACGGTTTAACTCATTAATTTATTGGATATTTAATAGTAATTTTCAAGAAGCATAGATCTTGGCCACTTATATTTTTAGACTGGCATATTCCTCGTACTAATGATTCATCCCGGTGATCCCAACATTAAAGAAGATTTAGGTGAAGGAACCGAAGGAAAAACAGTCAGTACAATAGATACATTCTTGGATTTGATAAGGTATTAATCGTAATGTTTATTGTCTACGAATATACTTATTCATATTTTTTGAATAATTATAATTATTTTCTGCTATTTTATTAATATAATAATTTGATACAGTAGATTTTTTGTTTTCCGCTTTTCCACTTTAAACAACAAAAAGTTCATAGAGAAAGAGAAATTTTGTTAAATTAAATCTTTCTCCCCATAATTCTGGATTTTGCAGACTTTGTTGAAAAATTTTGAAAAAATAATGGCTCATTCTTAGCTCATAAATAATAAATTTTCTAGAAATATGTTTCCTGAAAACATCGTTCAAGCATCGTTTCAACAGGTACAAACAAAGTATATTGAAGTTAAACCGAAAATATTGAAAAAAAATACCACTGAATTGCAACTTGCAATCAGTAACGGTTCAATGAGCATTCTCAAACCTACTGTTGAGTATACAGCTGGAATGAATGTATTGGGTTGGTCATTTTACTTAAATATAATCTTTTCATCAATAGTTGACAAATTTAGTCAAAGTTTTTAATTGACTATTGGTAATAAATGCAATTAAGTAAGTGATTAGCCACTTTTTCCGTTGGACTTACTTTACTAATTGCTATGGGATAAGACAATTTAGCAAGAGAGTCACTTTTGATAGAGGGTTCCCAGCAGCACCTGGATTTTAATTCGAATAGGTGTGGCCGAATCAGATGCTCGACAAAATGAACTAAGCAGCAGTCGTTGACTGTTGACTGTTCCAATTTTTTTTGCTATTGATATTTGCTATTTTTTGCTATTTTGCTATTGATAAGAGTTTCAATATACTTGAAGCATATTTACTATTAGCTGTTTTCTTCTCGATTAGCTGGGAATTTTTTTTTGAATCATTATAGGTATTATCGTATTTTGCATTGCTTTTGGAATCGTTTTAAGTCAACTTGGTGAGCAAGCTCGTGTCATGGTAGAATTTTTTGCAGTGATGGATCAAGTTATAATGAAACTTGTTATGATGGTCATGTGGTTGGTTTTATGATTCTTTCATAGCCCTAAGGAATTCGGTTCAACAAATTTTCTAAATAAATTTTTAGATTTCTAATAATAATCATTATCACATAGCAGGTTTATAATAATATAATATAAGTTAATATAAGTTATAATAATATAATACTATAATATAATATAAGTTGCTTCTTTGCTTCTTTGTTTAATAACATCTGAAAATCATCCAATGGTAAGAGAGCCAATTAAAATTGAAATTATGTCCATCAAATTATTTAAAGAAAAAGCTTAATTCAGGTATTCTCCCATTGGCATTCTCTGTTTAATTATGGGTAAAATTTTGGAAATTCGAGATCTAGCTGAAACAGCGAAGATGCTTTTCATGTATATGTTAACTGTACTTTCCGGTCTAATTATTCATGCTCTCATAACTTTACCAACAATCTTTTTTCTTTGTACTCGAAAAAACCCTTTTGTCTATATGCGTGGATTATTACAAGCTTGGATTACAGCACTTGGAACAGCTTCGAGGTCATAATTCATCTATTTCATTTTTTTGTCAAATTATTTATTTGTGACCCGAGTTGCTTTTAGCGACGGGAAAGCACATACTTCTAAATATTTCTTGGAACGATGTAATTGAATTCATCTGCTTTATCAATAATTCAATTTTTGAAATTTGGGGCATTAAAATCAGCTAAAAATTCGGTTTTTATAAGGTGAATAGGTTTTGAGATTGGATTTGCTAATAATAGAATTATAAAATGATAATCTTGATTATTTCAGTTCCGCAACATTGCCACTGACATTTCGTTGCTTAGAAGAGAATCTTGGAATTGATAGACGAGTAACGCGATTCGTTTTACCCGTCGGGGCGACTATCAACATGGTACTTTTCATTGTGGCTTTAAATGAATAAATTTTGCAAAATGTAAATATTCTATTCATATTCTCAACATAAGTTATCAATTTTCATATCCTGCCAGTATAGTTGCACAAAAAAGACAGGTTAACCCACTATGCAAATATATTTGATCATTTCTTGCATGGGCATTACATGGGCATTTTATGATATAGTATTGGTAGCATACAGCTACTTGAAGGTAAAATTCGACCGAAATATATTCTATATTCTTCCATTTTTGGGATGGTACTGCACTGTATGAAGCTGTAGCAACCATTTTCATCGCTCAAATGAACAATGTTCAGTTATCTTTTGGTCAAGTGGTTACAGTTAGGTTATTTTTTTGATTTTGTTTTAGTGATACTTTTTAAAATTAATCTACATCTTTCATTTTAGTTTGTTTATATCTGGAGATTATGGATACTTTTTCGAATTTATGGTATAATTAATACTGACCAATTACAGCTTGACTGCCACCTTAGCTTCAGTTGGAGCAGCTTCTGTGCCTTCTGCTGGCCTTGTTACTATGCTTATTGTTCTCACAGCAGTTGGACTTCCTGTTAAAGACGTATCTCTTATAGTTGCTGTTGACTGGCTTCTGTGAGTTGTTTCTTTTTGTTTTTTTATAATTTATAATTTGCTATTATTTTCTTCTCCAAGTTCTGTCTATAATCAGAGCGAAAACTAGAAAATATTGCCCAAAATTGCCTCTTTTGACTATACATGTCAATAAATGGCACTACTGATAATGGCGCATACACAAGCGTTGGATTATGTTCTAGATGAATTATGGTGAAAATTGAGGTATAGCAGATATATTTATAAATTTTTCATAATTTTTTATCAATATTCTAGTGATCGCATAAGGACATCGATTAATGTTCTTGGTGATGCGTTTGGAGCCGGAATTGTTCATCACTTTAGCCGTGATCATTTGGCTGCTATGGATGCAGAACATAAACTTTCACATCAAATATTTGATGACCATGGTAATAGTGAACTAATAGTTAACAATATTTAAAGGATATTAACATTATAACTCACTAAATGATAAATAACTGAATAAAGATAATCACAAATTTTCTTTAGCTTAAAAAGAAAACAATTGGAATTCAGTGATTCATTGACTTAAATTTCTGGACTAACTTTTAAGTTGTATTATTTTTTCTTGAAAATTTCCAATCATGCATTTTCAACTTATTATTAAAAAATTTGAAATATTAATGATGCCAGCAATCTAATCATTTCCGATTTCATCCTATAAGATTGTCTTTTGATTTGTTGTATTAAGTGAAATTATACTTCTTTATACTTCTTTATAATTTCATTTTCTCGCATCTTTCTGCAAAAAACAAAATTAGTTTTTCGAAAACTTTCGGATTTCCTTCCTTATTAATTAGCATTAATCGCTAATGCAAGGTTACAGATTTATAAGAATTTGTTTTAATTGATCAAAATTGTCGTCATAATCTTCCGTGAAATTCGTAAATAATGAATTTTTCATAAAAAGATTGAATTCATTCTTACAGGACAACATATTGAATTCGCGAAGAGTAATAGTAAACTGTGGTCAAGCAAACGCGATGGTTATTCAAATGTGCCCACTGATGATTCCAAATCATAAGTAGAATCTATGAAAATTTCCATAAAACTCTGATTACAATATTGAAAACTTTTTTCGTGTGAAATGGCCAGCAAACTTTTCGATATAAACAATATAGCTTTATAGCTTTTTTAATTTGAAAACTGTTATCTAAAATTTTTTCTATAATTTACTTTCAGAATATCTCGAAAGTATCAAATATACTTATATTTTTGATATTTTCATTCGCATATTTTTCGATTTATTTCCAGACTTCTATTCATTTTTAGATTTTTCAAATATCTCAGAAAATGCAAAATTTTTTTGTAGAAAATTTTGTATTTTTGTAAAATTTTCAATAGATGCTGTCTAGTTCAGTTTAGAAAAATCCAAAACTGCTCGATCAATATAAATCATTGATATTTTTTTAAAATCTAATTTGCCTCTTTGCGTTTAATCTTTATGTTTCTATGGTTGTTTAAATTATTAATGTAGTGAATTGAAAAGAACACTGGCATAGAGAAATTATTAGTAAATTTTGAATTTACTAATAATTTTAAATTTTTTGAATACATTTTGAATGGTGGTCTGGATTTGTGAGCGCGCTGTAAAAATATGAGAGTGACAACTACTAACAATTTTGATGGTTTCTTTTATTATCAAATTTTCGCTGGTTTATTTTTAGATTTTTTACTTTTATTCATTTTCGTTAATTTATTCAAAGTATTGCAAATTTTTGCTAAAATTTGATTAAAAAAATAGTGAAAGATAAATAATTTCCATGTTCATTAAATTTTTTTTAGAATCTAAATGGGCTTTTGAGTTTACTATTTTACCGGTTTTAATTCACTTTATATATATATATATATATTTCATTTTGGATAGCTTTTACTTAAAACTCCTAAAAATTGTTTTCTTAAAGCAAATGCGAAAAGAAAGTTTTGAAGCAATGAAAGAAAGTTTTTAGGTTAGCTCTTCCGTTTGGAAGTCCTTGAAAAAGAAAAATCTGAGTAGAAGTGATTAGTGAGCATCATTTCTCGTTAAACTCGCCCCATTTGGCCATCTTAAAAATAATTTAAAAACTACTGAAAGCATTAACTTTTAGAAAAACAATCCGAAATAAGTCGAAATAATCCGAATTACAATTATAACTCTGTTGAGATTTAATCCGGTTTAACCTTTTTTTTGAATCCATTTTATTTCAATTTAAAACTTGCTGTTGTATATTTTTGTGGATATAATATTATGTATTCATTCACAAAAAATGCACAACGGTGGTTTAATTATTACTGAAAATACGAAAAGTATGGCTGTGCACTTCGATTTTTTTCAATTTTCATAACTCGTGCAGTGAGTTATATACATTTGTATCCAAAACATTTGATATTAATCACTAGTGCAGACAAATAGTTCCGATATTATAGTTGTTAATTTTTCTTTTTCTTCTTTTACATCCTTTTTATGGCTTATTTTTGTTAAAAAAATTTTAAGCATTAATTCAATTTGATATTCTACTCATATCCTATAACAAAGTGATTGTGAGCGGATTTTAAAAGCAACCTACAGTTGCTTTCTCTAAAATCCGACTGATTACAAATTTTATAAATTATCATTGTGAATTTCATCAAAAAATGAGTTCTGTGGTAGTTGGTGATTAGTGATTTTTTAAAATGTTCAAATAATATTTTGATTTCATTTTTAATAGAGTTTTTATTTTTGGAAAAATTAATATATATCTTAAATTGCGTGTTAAAAGACAAGCAAACGTTCTGTTCTGTTCTGTTCAGACCAGTGAGCTTAAAAACATCTTTATAGTTAATCTACCATCAATGCAAGCTATTAGAAGAAAAAAGAATTAATGTGAATGAAATATGGCATGGGTATTGCAAAAATTTAAATTTTTTTAAATAATAAACTTGAAAGTTGGCAAAATTAGTGAAATTGAATCCCAGGCTTTAGTATCCAGGAGTCCTCAGGTCTAAAAATAAAAAGCACGCGAAAAATGAGTTGTATTTATTTTTTTTTGAATTTTTATTTTTGATTTCTTTATTACCTTTTCTATAAGTTAATTTTTTTTCCATTGTTAAAAGAATTTTTAGTTAAAATTTTTCGAAATAATTTTCGTTATTCAGATTAGATATTCAACAGTTTCTCATTAACATTATTGTCACTGAGATTTCTTGTCCGAGAATTATTTCAGTGGTAAGTGACCTCGATGGAGGTAACTGAAATTAAAAAATCAAGTATTAATTGAAGTTATGATAACTTAGTAATGAATCAAGTCAATAGGTAACTCTTTTTACTACAGATTGTATTAGATATTCATCTAAGTGATTTAATGATGAGAAAGATTAGCGAAATGAATGAAGGAAGATACTAGCACAATGAATACAATTTCCATCTTTGCCATCGAGACCCGGCGGACCGCGTGGTCCAGGTAGGCCTGGTTGTCCTTCCGGTCCACTCCGACCAGCATCACCTTCTTCACCAACTGCTCCACTGTTAAACACGCCATTGAGACCTTGCAAACCTGGTAAACCCGGTTGACCCACTCTCCCTTTGAGGCCTTCAGGACCTTGTGATCCTGATCTACGAAGGACATGCCCAGGCGCTCCTTTCTCCCCCTTTCTTCCGGGACGTCCTTGTTGCCCCTTTAGTCCGAACTCTCCAAGAACACCCTAAAAAATTGTATCCATATAGTTGTAAAATATTACAAATGAAAAATCACAAATCGCGTACATTTTCACCCCCAATCCCATCTTTGCCTGGTTCTCCTTGCGTTCCTCTTGGTCCTGGTGACCCTCTGAGACCTCGAACTCCAGTGTTTCCTTGGGGTCCAGGAAGGCATATCATGCAAAGTTCTTTTTGTTTTTCTGGAACTGTGCTAGCATCTTTTCCATTCTTTCCGTTTTTACCTGGTCGTCCATCTGTTCCAGGCATGCCTTCATCTCCAGCACGACCAGGCAGTCCTGCTGATCCCTAAAATGGCGAATCTTAAGCTTTTTTTATGGAATTTTTTTGTTATTTTGGCGAACAATGACGAGGAAACCATTTCTTTCGATCTCTTTCATTAGATATTAAAAATCTTTGAAAATATCTTGGTATCAAATTCTGAACATTTTCTATCAAATATTTTTCGTCAGTGGAACAAGTTTGTGAACCTTTTAAAAGGTATCTGAAGAAAAAACTAATGCTGACTTGATGGCAAATACAGCATTCCGTCATTAACTGATTTGTGTAAAACTGGCCAATCCTTTGGTTATAATATCCACCATTATGAATGTAGTAAGTGTCGAGAATGCTGTCATCTGGTATCCATTGTCCATAAAACCAATTTCTCTTATTTCGATCGGAACTTTGATGATCTTTTTGAAGAATTGCAATTTTTGACCACATATCTCTTGAATTTAACTGGAAAAAAGTCCCACTTACTTATTTAAACTTTAGAACTTTTAAAAAATTTCTACCCTGCCCTCATATAAATTATTCTCAACCATTAAATTTAAAAACTACTGCCCATTGATTAAATAAAGAATTCAAATGTTGGGGTGAGGTAATCGAGTAGTATTTTGCTTTATCTGAAAATTAATCCTGAAAATAATAAAAGATCCTTCGGCACAACACAAACAAAAGTATCTTATCTAAACGTATCAATCATTGTGAAAACAAGCGAAGCTAACTAAGCTTCTTTTTAAAAAATAAGGGCGAAAAATTTCGGCAAAATTTTTTAAATTCCTTTTCTTCAAAATCATATCATTTTATAACTTTAATTTCCAACGTTTTTTCTTCGAATAAATTTTATATAAAATGATTTACTTTGCAAAAATCCACTTCCATCATCAAGTGGCTTTCTAATGATTGGATGTAGCCATATAACAATGGAAGAGTAATAATTGAAGGAATAACGCCAACAGTTGAAAAAACAATTGCTATAAAAGTGATTTGACGCATTTGCTTCTGTTCTCTCAAATTCATTTCCAATGACTGTAGTTATTCTTTTCACGGAAGAATGATGAAGTTTAATAAAGTAACCGTGAACAATAACAATATGGATTAATAAGCGGCCGATCGGAACTCTCAAAAAAATGATAAATGAACAAATAAATAATTTAGGAGATAAAATTAAAAATTAAAATTAAATTAAATATAAAATAAAATTAGGCAAATTAAAAATCTTTTTTTTGCCAGTACAATCATAATGGGATCCTCATCGACAGCGACCGACACATTTCAATTCAATGCTGTTGAGCGGAAGTATGAATTAAGATTTTTAACATAAGAATTTTTTAATATCGTGTTAAGTGAGCAGGTGGTTACCATTTCCCTTTAGACTCATCTGCTGTTCGATGAGAAATTATTGGTTTTGAGTCATTTGACTATAGAAGTACCGATGGATCACCATCCGGATTTTCTTAATGACAATTTCACTTCTTCCAAAGATAAGAACCCCGATGCGGTAATCTGAGCAACAATACACTATGCTACCCCCGATTGCTTCATCAGTGTTATTACTTTGTTATATTCCCTTGGCATTTCATATTTCATTTTTCACTTTGAACCATATGGAATAATTAGTGAATTTAATAAAAACTCGAAGCAGTTCTTGTGATTAATCTTTTAGAAGCAAAAAAAAATTGAAATTGATTGATTTGTTTTGGCAGGAAGCAATTTTTTATTGAAAGCACTTTCATAAATTAGATAAATCGCTATCAACCGTTTCTTGCTTATGAAAGAGCTTCCATGAAACATGAAACGAGTAGATGAGATTTTTTTAAAACAAAGAGGATACTACCACCTTGAAAGTGTGTTTCAGATCATTCAGATGAAATACTGGAACAAAGTTTAAGAAGTAACAAGAAATAGAAAGACTGAGCGAGACGGGTTAACGGATTTATTTGAATAAATTCCTTCATAAAGTATAATATACGAATAGTTCATTTTAGAAGAATTTGAACTTACAAGTTTATTGTTTTTCCATTTCATTAACGATTGCATCTAAGCGATTAATTTCGATCAGTTTCTCACGTCTTTTATATAATTTTTTCTCAATTGATAATGAACTAATTCGCACGAGGATAACTGGAAAAAGTCACCACGAATTCAGTAAGAGTAGTCACAATTGTTAATCGACCCAAATTTGAGTCCCAAAACAAACAACAAAAATTTGAGAATTCAAATTTAACCTAAATTTAAAGCACGATTTGCATTATAGAGAGTACTGTGATTTGTTAGTGATTCATTCCATGGATTATCCGAAATTAGAGTTTGCTTCCCACTATTATTAAGATGGTAAACTAAGAAAAAAAACTGGAATCAGATTAATCTGTTCAAAGCAAATCTATCAAGAATCTTCATAACTTCTTAAATATGTAGATATAACAGAATATCGAAATTTTTAATAATGGTGAAGCATTTTGAGATAGAAACTTCTGAAACGGCTCTATGGCTCAAAGAGGAACAAAGATAAATGAATGAATAATGAAAAACAGCGAATTTTGTCAATTCTTTAAAGTTTATTTCTTGTGCATCGCCATAATTCGTCATAGGGATAGGGCAAGCAGTTGTTGCTCAGATTACTACTTCGGGGCTGCAAAGTCCAGGTGGCGATAAGGAGCAGCCTTTATATCGCCAAAATTTATTATTTTTATAATTCACTCTTTTAAAAATAGCGAATTCATTGAATAGTTGAAAAAATAAAAATTGTAACATTTTGAGCTTGAAAAAATTAAAAATTACCATAATTTTGATTTTTTTGATTCTGTTCATCTGAAAAAAATCTTGCTTATAAACCAAAAAATTCTAATTAATACATCTTTTTCTGAAAATATATTCCATTTAGAAAATTATTTCATATTTTTAACTAATTTTAGTAAAAACCTTAGCTTCAGATTTTCAGTGCAAGTCGGATTTATATAAATTGGAACAATTCGATCAAAAGAGAAAATAACCTCAGAAATGAGTTCTATCTAATTTGCTGTAGCGTGTATCATCTTGTCATACGGACAATAAATATGGTTAATGAAAGTGGAAGATAATATGAAGCCATTTACCTTCGACCACTTATTTCTAAGGCATGTTCCATTCGCCTAATCGCTCATTTCGACGAGCAGATAAAAATAAAATTTTTCTTCGAACAATGTCAGCTGCATTAATAATATCGCCATAAAGCATAGTCTACCCTGAGTCATACTTTTCATTATCCTTCATAGCAATTGATACTACTTGCTAAGCCGTATTGTGAGAGATGATTGGGTCAAGCGCCAGAAGTACCAATCATCACCACTTGAGAGATTGAGAGATTTTGACATATACATGGACCAACTATACATGGATTTAGACGATAGAAGTGGTTTCAATTACATTCAGAAAAAGCATAAAGCAATTTGGAAATCCCTTAGATTTAGTAAATCCCAATCAGTTGAGAGTTGTTAGTAGATTATGAAGAAATGGTTGATCTTCGCCATTTCCGCCTAGGTTTCCTCCACTGACTATTAATGCAAAGAGAATTTTGCGAGAGAATTAAAGTAGAAGTACAGGTAAGACAAAGTACAGATAAGCAATAGATACGCTGATTTTTATTAAATTTCATTTACTTCTCTCGGGTGCCGAATCCAGATCTTGAGATGATAATCTAAGCAACAATCACTCGACTTTTCTGCTTCTAATATAGTAATTTTGATATCAATGTTTAGATAATTTCAAATGTGTGGTAAGTTTATTTCTACTCCGTTCATTTTTTTAACAATTTTCAAAACGAGTAATATATTATTCCATAATAAGTATAGATCAACAACACACAAAATTTTGTGCATTTTACATTTAATTCATTAAGTTATGGCAATTTTTTTTAAAATTCTAGTTAAATTCAGTTCAGTTTTTTTAACAATTCTTCATAAAACATTATGAAAGAATTCCTTTAGTTCATCGGTTATTGTAAATGATAGTTAAGTCGTTATTTGATGGCACTGTTTTGACTGTCCATTTGAGTTCTTTACCTTAGCATAGCTAAATCGGATTCATTTTTGGAAGCCCCTAGGAAGATACCACAGGAAACCAATTTCTCTGGAAATTGCATAGAAATTTTAAAAAAAATTAATTTAAAATTAATTTAAATTTTAAAAAAATCTTTATCTGGAAAATTTACAAACAGTAATAATAATAAGAATTGTTTCTATGGAATCTCACTTGCTTATTTGGGAAATTTAAAATTTTGCTTCATCTTTTCAGAAATAAATTTTCATTATCAGATGAAATTCTGGAAATTTTGAAAATTTTTTTAAATTCAGGAGCAGTATCATTAAAACAACTTGGTAGCATCCACAAATTTAAACAAATTGAATATGCTGTAATGAAAATATAACAAAATAAGATGGTTAAATGCCCTGGGAATCAATAAAATGGATGCTTCATTTATTAATACAGTTTTTCCATTTGATAAAGAATTTCCCAATATGATATAACTGTAATAAGCAGATAAAGAGAAAAAATAATGAAAATAGGTTACAGAACTAATATTTCAACATTTGCACTTTTACAATCACTTCTGGTTCAACTAGCGCCATTGATTAATCCGAATCAGAATAAACCATTAATTTGTAACAGGAATGTTCAATGCAATCTGAATTTCGCTTTTAACATATTTGTTCTAAAGAAAATCGAATACATGATGCTTGGCATCATTCTAAAACAATACACCACTCGATTTTCTTTTCTCATTAAAGAGTTGATTAACCTTCGACCATTTCAAATTATTTTTATGATCTTGGTAATCTTGATGCCTGACAATATTTCAAATTTTCACAGCCGCAGGTAATCCTTAATCAAAAAATGGTTTTCAATTATGACTATTTTCTTAACCATCTCGAAATGTGCAGTAAAGCCAAATTTGCATTGCTTAGATTATTATATCATGATTCGTACCCTACCACTGACATCAGTAAGCTCAAAAAGATTCAAGCAGTGCTAAGGAACTACTTATAGCCCCAAATAATCCTTTGACTATTTCAGCCAACTAACAGCCTTAATTTAAAAGTCTGCTAAACAATTAATTTTTAACTTTGATTAGTTTTATTTCGCAAAATCACGAATATTTCCTTTCTGATTGGTCTGTATCTGTTGATAGAATCAATTGTCTATTTTGATATGGCTAAAGCATTTGATAATGTTTCACACAGTAAATTGCTTGTCAACATCAATCATTTCAGGCAGCTTGTACAACTGGATATCGAATTATTTAAAAGACCTATATCAAGTTTTACGTATTAACGACTCTCATACTTGGCTCCACATAAATCCGATGTCCTCCAAGGTACTATTAATGAGCTCACCACGGTTCCACTAAATTCTACCATTTACCTTGATGCTAATGACGGTAAAATTTATTATTCTCATGGAAGATCGGATAATCTACTATAAATTCAGTAGAATTTCCAAGATTTCAAACTTCCATAACCATCAAATCACCCTTTCCATTCAAAAATATAACGTATTACATATCAATTCGAAAAGAATCCGATCTTCCTAATCTCTCTTTATTACCACTTAATTAGACGAGTCTAATATATCAACATATCAAATCTTGACTTAATCGTGGATGAAAATCTTGATTTCGACCTTTATGCAGAATCATAGTAAAGAAATCCTCTAGATTAGTAAATATCGCTTAAAAATAGAAATATGCAGGAAGTTTGAAATCTTGGTGGTTTGACAAGCTTTCTCATCAAAATATAACAAAGCGTTCGTTCGGCCTATTCTTAATTATAATTATATTTTATTATTCCCCCAGAAATCAACAAAATTGATTGAAGGCCTCCAAAAATACTTCGTACGCCGTCTCTTAATACCAATTATTATTTATTCTTAATTATATATTATAATTTTAGGTTAAATTTGAACCCAGTAAGGTCTAATGAGCTAAAATTATTAAAAGCTAAATGCAATACTAATTAAGAACACATAACTTTTTTGTTCTCACCATTAAAAACTGAAATAAGCTTCAGAATAATGCAATTTGAGCAATCCGTCCTCAACTATTTTTGAATAATATATTAATAATAATTAATATAAATATAAATAATAACTATATTTAAAAAAAGATTAAATAATATCACCCATGATATTATTTAAAAGTTTTACTTATGCAGGAAGTTTGAAATATTGGTGGTTTATCATTTGATTATCTTTCACTAATATATTTAGTTTGGATTACTTAATTTACTTTATAATTAACCTTTATTTGTATTCTTCTCTTTATATATCGCAATACTAATTTTTTTAATTTGATAGTTTATTTTTATAGCTATTATTTGATAGTTGTTATTAACGGCAAACCAAACTTGTGGCCCTGCATGGTTGTAAATAAATAAATAAATGTTCTCTTCTTTTTTTAATAGCTCTCACCATTGGCTAAGCTTACTCGCTAGCTACAAGGAAATTAATCGGCGATATCATCGCTGCCAGTAATAGAAGCCATTCCCTTTTCCACAGTATAAATCCATATATCGCTAATCTCTATATATATTTAACATTTCTGACTTTCTGACTATATCAGTCCAGATCTTGATTGCACCACCTCACTTTTAATACCACCCATCACAGGGTTTAGCAAGTAAAGAAATATTTTTCAGTAGTGGGGGATGAAAAATGTTTCCTAATCAGCTCTATGATAATAATGTTGGTGGAAGTGATATTTAAGCGAAGATGGATATAATCATGTGAGATTTTTTCCGCTTCGCGGATCCATATCTATCTTAGACATGATTAATCAAGGTAGATAGCTTTTTAATATCTTCCACTCTCACTGGCCATGTTTCGCAGCCATATAGCAAGATCAAATAAATCGCAGCTAAATGGACATGGATTTTCTTTACAGTGCACCCGCGACGGATCCATAAAGATTGTGTCAGCTGGAAGAACGCATTTCTAGCTGCCGTGATCCGGGCTATGATGTCGTCTTTTGCCTCGCCATTTGGTATTAGAGTGAATCCAAGGCATTTAAAATCGGGCACTTCCTCGACAGGCAATGAATTTATAAAAAAAGGCATTTTATCACCTTCCTGTACAAGGCGAAAAAATTCATTTTATTTACATTGATCCTAAATCTGATTTTTTCTGCAGTTGCTGACCCGTTATTTAGCATTATTTCGTCACAACTGTCAGCAAAAAAGATAATCAGCGTATTCAAAATATATGATACGATGCTCCGGACTGATACACCTCTTGAGTGCCGATGTGCATTATCCAGTCTATCGCATAGTTGGATATTGTAGGGGAAAGGACACAACTTTGACGAACATCAGTTCTTATTTCAAAGAATTCTGTCAATCCACATACACACAGACACGCACCGACGTATGCTCATAAAATGCCTTTATGAGTCGAATGATCTTCTCTGGTACATTGTCGCGTTCCATCACCCTCCAAAGCCGCGCTCTATCAATTGAATCGAAGGCAGCCGCAATGTCGATGAAGCACGTGACGGTAGATTGCAGATACTTGAAACAATATTCCAATATCCTTTTCGTTATTCCGTGAAATTTTTTTAAATTGATAAATTAAGCCAAATGGATAAAAAAATCCTTGAAGAAGTAAAAATTAATGGTTGATCTTCAAAGAAAAAAAGGAAATATTTGATATTTGAAATTCACTTAAATATTCGAATACAATGAAAAAAATTCTCTTTCCCTTCAAAAATTTATTAAATTTTCGTAGAATTTATCATAGAATCATATCGATTTATCTAAAAAAAAACCCGAATAACTTAAAATCTGAGGGCATTCTATTTAGTGAATTTCCTAAATTTGCACTTGAAACCACTTAAACTAACTGAAATATGAATAAAAAAAAGCAAATAAATTAAATCAATTAAAAACTATCATTGAAGCACCCCAAGGGCAATGGGCATGTTCAATGCGGAAGTTTCAAATAGAACGCTCAGTGGCCCTATTACGGATTGCCGATAAGATGGTTCTAGTAAAAAACTTGTCTGTCAAAAATCAGAATTATTTAGTACCAACCTAATTTATTTCTAATATATATGCGGTTTTACTTGCACCATTTGATTATCGTTTTTTTCTAAAAAAGAAAAATGATACGATAGATTTTTATCGCAGTCCTATAACCCATCTGTTTTTATATGAATAACATTTCTTTCTACAATTGGCATTTCTTAAATGAAGAGAGAGCAGAAAAAAATTTGGTAAATGTTACTATCATTATAAAAATGATTAAATTAATTGTTCTGTTGAACGAATAAGTACAATATCAATGAAATGAAACCTTTTCTGCAGGCGTGGCATGGGTGGCCAAAGTTCAAAAATCCAATAAAAATCTCTACATTTGACCCAAATCGCAATATTTTATGTCATTCTCATACAATGAATATAAAAATTCTCCCAAAATCTGATAGCTAATCAGTTAATTAACGCTGATCAACTGGTTGACGCCAATGGAAATCAAAGACGATGCCAGTCAATATCAACAAATGCGGCGTATCGCATTTATCGCTGTTGTATTTTCGACTGCTGCCGTTATCACTGTTGTCATCACTTTACCTATGCTTTATAGCTATATTCAATCATTCCATAGTCATCTGATGCTAGAAACCGATTACTGCAAGGCAAGTATTGCTTTGATATTTCATATATTTAAGATCCTTTTATTCCAAATATAAATCATGAATCCTCTGGGTCACGAATATCTTAAAACAACATATTCTTTCGGTTATGTCAAAGTGTCGCGGTTTAATCCATGTTTTTTGATGAAAGCTAAATTCAGGTATGCTTAAGAATTACCCAAACCTCGATCCAAATTTAATTTACTATTGTCAGCATCGCCAGTAAAATGAATATTGGAAGAAAAAGAGGAAATAATTTTTCATTTGGCAATAACCATTCTATTAAATCAAAAGGAAGCTTTTTATTTCGTATCCAAATTCTAAATCACTGTTTTGCATCTACGTTTATGCCAGTAAGAAAGTATAAATCAACAAATCCTAACACAGTTAAGCGAAGTTCAGGAGTTCAAATAAAGTTACAAGTGTATATATAAATATCTTGGAATTTTCAGCTCGAATTATTTTTAAATCCTTTAGTTTCGAGCAAGAGATTTAATGCTCGAGATGGCGGCACTCCAAGCAAAGAAGATGATTGCTCAACGACAGAGAAGAGGTTGGCTTTTCGGTCAGTGGGCACCTGAAGGAAATGAAGGATACGGTGAAACCACTGAAAGCAGTTACCAATCTCCTGTTCTAAATGCAGAATTAGCATACGCTTGTTGCACTTGCCATCAAGTAATGAATAGAATTATGCCTTTCTTGTAAAATTGAGCTGATTATAACTGAATAGAGTGACAATAGAAATATTAGAAAAATTTATCAAAATGCCATAATGGATGATTTTATACAGGGACCAGCAGGACCACCAGGTGAACCAGGTGAGCCCGGAAATAACGGAAAAGATGGGATGGCAGGGAAAGATGGCAGAGATGGACATGATGCTCAAATATATAGCTCGCCACAAAGCGAACCTTGTATGATTTGTCCACCTGGTCGCCCAGGCGCTCCAGGAAATATGGGCACAAAGGGACCTCCAGGACCGAAAGGGTCACCAGGTGACCCACCCATGGACGGCAAAAAAGGCCAACCAGCAAGTTTTTCGAGCAATTTTTAATAAGAAAGTTGAAAAATAATTTATTTAAAAATTATTTAAAATTTTAGGGTATGCCTGGTCAAATCGGCCCGACAGGAAGATCAGGAAGAGAAGGACCTCGTGGCCCAAGTGGTTTGCCCGGGAGAGCGATTTATACAACTGGCCCACAAGGTCCAACGGGCCCACGTGGTCCACCAGGGCCACCTGGACCAAAAGGAGAGCCAGGACTAAATGGCCAGTCCTATCAGGGGCCACCCGGCATACCAGGCGAACCAGGCGTTCCAGGCCATGAGGGTTCCCAAGGATCCCGCGGAAAACAAGGACCACCTGGACAAAAAGGAATCATGGGAAGTTGTGGACATTGCCCAGGTTCGCTCCTTTAAAATATTTTGCTTCAGTATTGGAACTGAATTATAAATGTTCGAGTTCTAGAAATTAGAGATTGTCAATTTTTTTATAGTACGTATGAATGCCTTTTTTTATTCAGTCTCTGCATTTTATTGCCCTTATTCAATTTATTTTTTTCAGATCCACGTACACCCCCAGGTTATTTCTAAAACATCATATCTATGTTCTAAAAACAATCAGTTGCCATATTTATCTTCTACAAACGATCATTAAATCCAATAATTACTTATGGAATATGCAGAAATGATTGAAATGAAAGAATCCTGCGACTCCTGAGAAATTAAACGACTAAAAACTTTTAAAAATTAATTTTTAAATATTTAAATTAAGTATTGTGGAAAATTGGGATAACGCAACCGTGTTTACCAGCCGCAATTGTCCAATTTTTTAAAACGGCTCATCAAAATTTTTTTACTCACTGTTGAACATTTACAAGTTATTTAAGAACGATATTTAAATGATGTTTAAAATCATAAAATTTAGTTAAAAAAATTAAAAATTAGATTTAGAATCTCTAACGAATTCGAAAGATTTTTTTTCGGACCCTTCACGTAATAATTCTGTCATGTTTTATTTAATTAAAAAAGAAATAAAAATTTATTTGGCCTTTTCACCGAATCTCTATTCGTACAGTTAAGAGAATCGTAAAATTAGGCCATCATACATACAAAGGAATAAAAAACTTTTGAAATAAATTGCTTTTGTTCTGATTCGATCAGCACAGCGTTTTTGCCTTAATTGGCTCAGTTAGATAAACTTACCATTTTCGCATCGTTCGTTCTCCAAAGAAAGATAAGACAAATAATTAATACCAGAAATAATCGAAATATTAGCAAATGACCATCGAAAACCTTTAAAAACTTATAGATCTAAGAATCAACTTTGGTCGGTGTACGGAAAGAGATTTTAAGAGATTCTATTCCTTGCATCAATAAATACTTTTCCCACTGACCCCACTTAAAATTTCTGTATTATTATCGAAGATTTTTCATATTACTTTATTATGTGAATTAAAAAATAAAATTTAAATGAAGTTAAAATGAATTATAAATTATAAACTATAAATTAAGAAAATTAAAAAAGCAATTATAAATTACAAAATATATATGGAATAAAATAAAACGATTTGATGGCAATATAATAAGTATTTGATGGTAATATAACAAGTAACGTCAAACACTCAAAAATTTAAATGAAAGTAAGAACCATTTAGAATATCGATTCCCGAAATGCTGTGCCGAGACCCACTGGATAACAATCTCAAGCGAAAGGAATATGGGAGTACAAAGTTTGAATAATTTAAAATAATTTAAAAGATAACTATGAATTTGCGAAAACAATGGGAAAATTTTAACAAAAAGCATAAGAAATAGGCAAAATTTCAACGACTGTAACTGAAGAAACCATTAACCAACTAACCTATTTTGCTTAGCTTGGAGATAGTTAGCCGCAAAATATTCACCAAAAAAAACCCTAGGAAACCCTACAAACTTTTTTAGCTGATAGGCTTTCAAGCATTTTTAAGCATTTCCCCATCTATCGTAATTAAAAACCAACAGTAAATGATAAATAAAATAAAATATATATGGCAGTGCAAAAGTCTATAAAAGTCTACGAAATGCTGAAAATTAAAAACTCGAAAACCAAAATTCTGAAAGAGAAAAAAACTATAAAAACCTCAGAAATATCAAAGTGCAAGAGAAGACATCGAAACTGACTATAACTTCTTTCTCTTGGAATACAATTTAAGAAGAGTATAATTTTCTTGGCCAATAACAATCTAAGAAGAGATTTGGAAAATAAACGCGCTCAAAACGATCACTTCTTTCCACTATAATTCAATAAAATGAGTGATTTTTGATTATTAAATTATTGATATGTATATAAAGCAAGTATATATATATAAAGCATAAAGGATTTGAATATTAAAATCATCCGAAATACAGATGACCAAAAAAAAAAGAAATATAGAAGTACAGAGGTTATTTATATTATATTATATTTATATTATATTATATTTATATTATATTATATTTATATTATATTATATTTATGTTATATTATATTTATATTATATTATATTTATATTATACTATATTTACATTATATTATATTTATATTATATTATATTTATATTATATTATATTTATATTATATTATATTTATATTATATTACATTTATATTATATTTATATTATATTTATATTATATTATATTTATATTATATTATATTTATATTATATTATATGTATATTATATTATATTTATATTATATTATATTATATTATATTATATTATATTATATTATATTATATTTTATATTTTATATTTATATTATTATATTTTATATTTTATTATATTATATTATATTTTATATTTATATTATTATATTATATTTTTGCCTTTACCAAGATTTTTGCACTGCATATATGAGCAAAAAAAAAGTTTTATCGGTGAAGTCAACAATGAAACTCATATTTCTCTTTTAAAATATTAAAGAATATAAAATGAAGCGAAATAAAGTAATAACCAAAAACAGAATTCTTTTCGAATTGACCAAAATTCAGATTCAATAAAATTTAACCATCTTCGTATGATAAAACTATCTTCATGAACAGATACAAATAAAAAAAGTGGAACTTTGGAGACGTTTTACCCCTGTGGCCAGCGGAGCTATAACCAGTAGTGAAAACTAGTTAGAAGAAACTAAAACAAAGACAAATAACTTTTGTTCCTAGGACCGATTTAGCTTATATTCCTCTGCTTTTTTGCAAATTCCTACTTTCCTATTTTCAAATTCCTATTTTCAAATCCTATTCCTATTTTATCTGAGGTTATTTCTGAGCAATTACATGAGGTCCAGTACCAACGCAGCTCAAATATGCGTCTTTAACTACAACACTGACTGGCTTAATTTCATTTAGATCTAAATATTTTTCCATGTTTTTAATTTGTTCCTTTAAATTATCGCAGTCTATTACACCACTTCTTGTAATTCGTTCTGAAATACAAAAATATAATTTTCTTGACCAATAACAATCTAAGCAACAGTTTACCTATAAACTGCGACATTGAATATAAATAAAAAGACTCACCAATAATATCATCAGAAAGATTACAAAATTTCTTTAATACTACTAAGATAATTGGTACGAAATTAGATTCCATGAAAAGACAACAGTTTGGTCCTGCGTCGAATGAATACGCGACACGAGATTGTTTAAAATAGTTGTTTAAACAGTCCACAAGGTTTATTAAATTCCATGAAGATTCATTTAAATACTGAAAATTTAAAAAAAGTAAAAAATAAGAAAATCACGGTAATGAGATTATATTTAATTTTAACTTTTTACTAGAAAGGAAAAAGGTCCACCTATCTCTCTACCTCGAAAATAATCCAAAAAGGATCTAAATGAAGTCCCACTTTAAATAGTGGAAATGGTTAGATCAAAAAATTCGGAAACAGTAAGTGTATTTCGAATTATTGAAGCACCTCAGTGGTATAAATATCAATGACTTTTCTGGAATTGAAACGAAAACGAAAACAATTCAATCGAAAGGAAAGTTAGCCGTTTCCATACTAGGAGAATGTACATTAGTTGGGTGTCTGAAACAATTGCCCAACTATCTGCCAAAGCATGAATTTCAGGAGATCCTGACTATCGGATGCTTCAAAGAATTGCAACGATAGCAGTACCGTGGAAAAGAAATTATTATTGGAGCGACATGGCATTGAGAATGGAGATAGCGCCTCGATTAGGTGATAAAAAGAAACTATTTCGTCTTCTTCATAAAGCAACTACAATTCGGAGAACGATCTATGAAAGGGTAAGCGATAGCAATGATGTGCCTGTTAGTATTAAAGATCGCCTCACAAGATAGAAGGAATTCCATGAGGCTAATCTTAACCATAATGCGCTATCTGTTGACTTGGATATAGCTGATAAATTCGTCGAACCATGCGTTCATAACTGCGAACCGCCAACAGAAGAAGAAATAATTTCCATTTTCCATAAACTTAAGGCCAATAAGACTATGGGAGAAGATGGTTTAAAATGCTGAAAACTTTTCAAATATTGTAACATCGACGTTCAACAAATATACTCTGCTGCATGAAAGAAAGAAATAATGCCAGATAACTAGAGCAAAGCAATTCTGTTCTCAGTTCCCATGAAAAATTACAAGATATACTGCGACAATTATCGAGGAATCAGCCTACTAGACGTTTCAGCGAAAATTTTTGTTTCCCTTTTACTCAATAGACTTATGGCAGTACGGGACACCAAGATGCACACTAATCAAGCTAGACTTAGGCCGGAACGCGGTTATGTTGACCAAATATTCACGTTAAAAAGGACGTTGATATATCACTTAAAAATATCTCCAACTCACCTTTTACCGACTTTGCGGTTGCCTTTGATTCAATTTATAGAACGGTGCTTCCGAGGGTGATGGAACGCGACGGTATTCCAGAGAAGATCATTCGACTCATAAAGACCTTTTACCAGCTTACGTCGGCGCAGATGTATATGGGGATAAACTCTTTCGAAATAAGAACTGGTGCCCGTCAAGGCTTTTTTCCCTACAGTATTCAACTACCTGGTAGATAATGGACATCGCTTGTCAGTACTCAAGAGGTGTATAAATCAATCCAGATCATCAATCCAGAGTATTACAGAATAATCCTTTTAACTGACGCAATACAAATAATGTAAATAACGTGTAAGAAGCGAGAATCGGACTCAGAGCCAATGTAAATAAAACAAAAATATTTTCGTTTTACATATAAGAAGCTAATAAGAAGCTGCCCTCTTTTTATAAATTCATTGCTGGTTGAGGAAGTGCACGATTTTAAATACCTTGGGTCCACTCTAATACCAAATGGCCAGGCAAAAGACGATATTATAACCCTGATCACGGCAGCTAGAAGCGCGATCTTCTGATTGAAGAAGCCTGTATGGAGCCGTCGTGAAATCACCATAAAAACGAAAGTCCACATCTATATAACCATGATTCGTCCGATCTTAGTATATACCTCTGAGACATGGCCAATGAGAGCGAAGGATATTAAGAAGTTATCTACCTTTGACCACTCTTGTCTAAGGTATATATTATATTTTGGATACGTCAAGCGCATAAGATATCACATGATCGCGTCCACCTTCGTTTAAATATCATTTGCATTAACAGTGCCATCACAGAGTCTTCGCTGATTAAGATACATTTTTCGCCACAAACATTTTTCGTTACTTTCTAAACCCAGTGATGGGTGGCGCCAAAAGCGAGGAAAGCCAATCAAGACCTGGACTCGGTCAAGAAAGATTTTGAAAGTATAGCTGGACCAGCAATATATGGATTTAGACGATGGAAAAAGGAATGACTTCAATTACTGTCGACGATGGATAGCCAGTGGAGCCAGCCTAAACAGTAATGGTGAGGGCTATTAGAAGAAGAAAGAATTAATTATTATATTAAGAAAATTTATTAATAAATTTTTTCCTTAGTTTTTAGCTGAAAAATCTGGGTATCTGGTATATGATTAAAACAACAATAATAAAACAATTTTGAATTTTTTGTGAAACTGAAGAAGTGATTCGAACTTTGATTGGAGGATATGTATCCATGCAAACTGCGTGCAACTGATTGCTATCTTTCATAATTATATGGGCAAATGCTTCGAAGTTTCTCGCCAATATCGCTTCTTTCAGCCTGAAATAATTTGGGTTATTCTTCATAAATCAGAGTAGAAAATGGTTTGTAAAAATAAATTCCCCACTTCGATAATAAAAATAACTGTTTAATTGAATGATAAAATAATAACCAGTTAACTTATTTAGTTGAGTGTAGAACAATAAACAATAAACAATAAAAAGGAGCAAGAGACATATAAGCGAAAAAAGAGAAAAATTTTTAAGGAAATACCGTAAAAATAATAAGAATATGACAATATACAACAAATACAAATGAAAAAAAAATGACATTTTTTATAAATATATAATTAAAAAAATGACAAAAATCCCTTAAGTAATCGCGTCATGCAATAAAAATTCAAATAATTATTTTTACCGAAGAATCATCCCTGTTTTTATACAGTAAAAAACAGAAATAAATAGAAATAATAAAATAGAAAACAAAAAAATAGAAATATTACATCAAAATGTTTCATGAGGTAACCTTTCAACTCGTTCAGGCACAATATGTTCTGCTCGAAACCGAAGTAAATCTGAACATAATGTACTTCTTCTCATTCCTTCACTGCTACTAACTGTTTTTTCTTCGTGAGAAGTAATTAGAATTAAAGCTCGGATTGAGAGCCAATGTTCTTTAGAAGCAATCGCCTGTCACAATCAAAATTTATACAATTTAAATTATGCATTTCACAGAATTATCATTAATTTTCTGTGGATGCACTATTATAATATATTTCAAGATACCGAAAACTCAGTGCAATATAAAACGTTTGATATATATTAAAGAACTGGAAAATGCCAAAATCACTGGAAAAAACCTTTTCTCTCATCTGTTCTTATCTATTCATAACTTTTTTTAACACTAAAGATAAATTCAAACTGAGGGAATTGCAAAAATTTATACCATTAAATTCTCAAAATTACCTCACATAAACAATCAGAACCATCGTTAAGGTTTCCTGCTTTCCAGTGGACAAATCCACTAAAAATACTGCGACAAGCGCTACCGGAGCCTATAAGATAAATTAATAATTTATAATTTATATATTATTAATAATTCATAAATAAGGATATAATTTATATCGCTTTTAATTCAATAACCAAGTAATTTTTTTACCAATTCTAGCAATATAAGCAATTTCTTTATCACTAAAATTAAATAATTTTCCGAAAGCGTATGCAATTGCTGCAAAACCAGCAGCTGAGGAAGCTAAACCTGCTCCAACAGGAAAATTAGTTACAGAAATAATCTGAAAATTATAAAAATACTTATAAATCGAGAAAAAAAAAGAATTGCTCAAACGATTTTTTTAACTAATAAAAAGATAGTATAACATAGTATAACATGTTAAATGTTTATTTAAGAGAAATCTTGCCATTTAAAATATAATGAATCATTCATTTTTAAACATTGGAAGACAGAAGATAGTTTAAAAATTCTCGATAGTTATCAGTCAAATACTAGTCAATATTATATTTAACGAAAATTTGATAGTAAAATTGCAAAAAATTTAAATTAAGCATACCTCAAATTTTAATGCAATGATGTCACAGCTCGTAGAAATTGTTTTTTCGTGCAACAACCGTCTAACTTCCTGAAAATTTCTCAAAAAAAAATTAAGCAAGGACGAAAAAATGGTGATATCTCCGTATTTACCTTCTTACTTCTTTACTTATAGCAAATCAATTCAAAGCCATGTAATGAATCTCAATTCTTCTTCTTTTGACGGCATTTGCCATTTTTATTTGGCCCGTTAAACTGATCAAATGGAGATTAAATAAAATCACAGAGGAAAAATAGCCCAAGACCCAAGACCCATGCGCAATCACGGAATAAATTTTAATTAATGAATAACAATTATTGAAAAACAAGCATCTTGCAACTTACCGAAAAACATCTTTTATATCGTAAATTTTCTGTTAAATCTATCGATATTCCATTTACTGAAACAGAATCGTCGTTAATCAACGAATTCACACGCACCAATGTTTCTGCATACATTTCATCGATATTAAGCGAAACTGAATCATTTAATGGCAACATATTTTCCTGAAGGAAAACCACTTAACGAATTAGGTAAGTGCCATGCAAATTCATGAATTTTATAAAAAACTTAAAATCGAATGCAAACCACAACCTGATTTTACCAGCAAGAGAAAACGCTGAATTGAAAAAGTTAACATAATAACATAATTTTAGTAACATAATAATAATAACATAAGTTAACATAATTTTTAAGCGAAGAAATTTATGGGACACCTCATCTCGTTTGCCCCAATATTTGATGAGTGCAATATTAATCGGCACGACCACTCGTATTTCGTTACAATCACGCATCACTTACTTGTTGCTAGAATCACTTTAAAGCGATAAATAAATTAAATAACAAATATAATTCATAGAGCGAAATACTTTCGAATCCCAAATTATTTTCAAATTTTTCCAATTTTATTACCATTCAACAAATCATCTTACTATGAAGAGAAATAATTTATGATGTGTTCCATGATAATTTAATGCGAAAAACTATCCATAATGGAAAAAATAAAAAAATAATAAAATAAATAAAATAAAAATAAAATAAAAATAAGAAAATAAATAAAATAAAATAAAAAAAGATGTGCCAGGAATAATCGCAAATTATATGCTGTGACTAAGCTCTCAAGAAATAACCCGACCTTCGATTCCACAGAAAAGGCAAAAAACTTTAACCCAAATTTACTACAGCCTACCGGTAAACACCACCAAGCTCGAATGATAAAAGAGTCCCACTTCCCCGGCTGCGATATAATACTTCGGATGATCTCTAATACTCAGCCGCGAACTTCGGATTTTTGGGTGTGAGAGGTGCGGAAATATATTGGCTTGGCAGGGATTGGATTTGACGCACTTATGGAAAGGAAGTGGAAAACAAAAAGTGGCGACGAAACTTCGAATTGAAAAAGAACCTGGAGTTCATTATTTTGTGCCATCAGCGTTATTTCGACCATTTTTTCTTGCGTCTCTCCAATTTCCAAATTTAATATTTTTAATTTTATCAATTTTGATATTTTTTAATTATGATAAATTTTCTGCGTAACTTAAGGTAATTACAATAGTATCAAAAGAATCTATTTTTGTTTTCCTCAGACTGATGGACTTTGCTAAAAGATTATTTTAAGCTGATTCTTCTAATAGTTTGCATTTGCATTACTGCAGATTTCGCAGACTCCATTCCCAGTCCATTCCTGAAATAGATAAAGCCACTCATTTTTCTCCCGTCTAGGCGCATGTGCTGCTGGATTGATTTGACGCTGTCCATCATGGGTTTAGCAAATATCGAAATGTGCTTCAGTTCCTGTGGTTTGCGACAAATAACATGAAAATAAAATAACGCAAGCTTTGTAATATTCCAAATGAAAACTGTGTTCGGGTAAAGATGAACTTATGTGAGACTTACTCTTCTTATTTAGCAGATATGGAAGGTGTACCATGGGCACGATTTTTTTTAAAAGTCCTCACTATTACTGGTTAAACTCTCTCTCCAGCTTGTCGCACTGGACATATATGCCAGGGAACCTCTTGGCGATAGAAGTACAGGTGAATCGCCAGCATCACCTGGATTTTTGGATAGGTTTACTCCTGCGGGGAATAGAACCTTAGCATTGGCTCTCAGAATTGAGCTATACATAGATACAGCTAGATAAATTTAACTTTCATTTTGAAGCAGCAATTCCAAGGGGCTTCACAGATGAAAGAAAGAAAATATCTCTAATTGCGGCCATTCGAGTTGGGATTTCATCTTGATTATAAATTTCGATCAGCATCTTATTGAAGGCCAATTTTCCCTGCTGTTGCCCACATCTACTTTGCTGCAACTCTTCATAACTATCACATTATCAGCTATTCAAAGTCCATGATATTATACTGTCAATTTATACAGCAGGTTGCGTTGATAACCCATATTTAAAGACACGTATTTCAATTCATTTCTCCATATGTACAAACATAAGCTGACATGCACCGATGAAATCTGATTATCTTCTCTGGGACATATCGTGTTGTATGATTTATTAGAACGTCTCTGTATACCATGGGTCTGTTCAGTATTTTCCCAGAAATATCTAAGTCGCATGGTATTTGTTCCTACTACATCAGTGGAAATTTTTCAGCATATTTTATATTGTGGAAGGCGCTGGGCAGCATTCAAAATAGCATAGGGGTTTTTTTGATCTTAAACTTACGAATTACAGAGATTTCATTTTTGGTTGGTGATTCGCAATTTTATGGTTGCGTCCGGTATGTTAGGTAGTCCATCATAATTAAACATGGATTCAAAGAACTCTCTCCATTGAGAGAGATTATCTTTAGTAGTCTTAACGAAGTTTTCACCTTTATCCTAGATTATTTCATCGACCATTCCTCGAGTTCCGATTGTTCTATAAGTAGGTGGAATAATTATCGAGTGATTTGGATGTACTGGGGCCACCAATTTCATTCAAATTTTTTCATTTTCATCAATATTTTTGCTCCAGTCCATGATATTTGATCTTAAACAAAATATTCTTCAATCGTCCATCCTGCCCTTAAATTACCTTCTTTCCCACAATAAAATAGTTCGAAATTTGATTAGTGACATTGCTTATTCGATAGCAAGGTTTTCTTTCGTATTAAAAGTTGTGAAATCGTTGCGAGAAATCGTCGAAATATTTAAAAAAAAAAAAAGCAAAATTATTTTATTTTTTGTTTTATTTTTAGGTAATTCAATAGATAATTGATAAAGCAGTTGTGATTATTTGAGATCATTGGCAGCATTTTGATAAGGGGTTCCATAGAAAACCAGTGCTTTACGTTTATTAAAGCCAAATAGTATTAAAATGTTTTTCCCGAAATTCAGTGAAATTAATATTTAACTATTTGACAGAACTATGCAATTTATATTCATTTTTCGATGTTGCTTTCCACTAGATTTAGGTATTTTTTTTGCTGAATTCATAAAATGATCGGTTAGATTAGCTGTACAACTTAAAGCAATTGGTAATAAGATTAATGCATGAAATACACCAATAACAATGACGAGAAATATCGTTTTGAAGAAAACAAGTACCATATATGAATTGATAAAGGCGAGAACAGTTACACCAAGTATTGTCGATATGCTACCATGCATCACTATAATTGTTTAAAAAATCAGATCAATTTATGATAATTGAAGTTTTACTTCATAACTAAAACCCCAAAATTTTGTCACATATAGCAAAAAACAGCTGTTAGGCTTCGATCGTTGTCTCTTTGCCTCAATATGCAACAATCTTCTGAGGAAACAATAATTAAAAGCAGCATTTCTGGATATTTTAGGGAGCAGAATCCAAAATATCTCTTTTGTCTTTTTTCCTTAAATTTATCTTCAAACCAGAGTTGTCCCAACATTCTATCATAAGTTTGCTGTCGTTTATAAAATTATATTGTAAAATTGAAATAGTATACCAGGCCAGGCCAGTTTTTCCATTGTATCGACACAACGTTCTTTAGGTGTTAATTTATTATTATTACTAATAAATCCATAAGTGATATGAGCGCAAAATTCAATGGAAAATCCGATTGACATTAAAATTGTCATCATCGAGATTGGATCCAATTTAACATTCCATAACGATAGAAATCCAATTACTCCTAAAAAAGTTAACATATTTTAAGAATTGTTTTTGAACTGCCTGGAGATATTCTGCAAATGAATGATTTTCATGCTAATTTTTGCCCAAGCATATTTATTCACCTATATAAACAGAAAAAACCCCGATTAATATAGCGAGAAATGGATAAATTAATTTACCAATATCCATTGTTAATATCGACAAAGTAATCCAAATTGTGCATATCGGGTTGGGAATAAAAAGCAATGAAATTATTATTAATACAAATATGGCGATTGTATCGTTTTGTAGCGTATTAGGCAAGAGCACATCGATCTATATATAATATGTGTCATCGTTGAAATGGAGTCGAATCGGCCTTCAGTGCCAATTTTTCTACAGTTATTTGAACACAAGATTTTGTGCGACTAAATAACTAGTTGTGGTGAATGAAATTTATAATTCGACCTTCATTTAATAAAAACCTGATCAGCGATACTGCGACTCATTTGATATGAGTATACTTCGAATTGCAGATATTTGGCGGAAATAGCACGAACTATTCTTGTCACGCGAATCAAATCTGCTGGCTTATTAAACTGAGTCACACCGATCCGAAATCGAAATGATTTCATAGACAAGTTTTTTAAAGTCCCTTCGTTTTCCCATACGAAATCTCGAGACCTATAACATATAGTATAACGCACTGATTGTGATGACGTTTTAAAAAAGGCTAATAGCCCCTTCCAACTACAATGCCCTACGACGAATTTGGAATTGGCCAAACCTCATTTAACTAGAAGATCATTTACAACTTTTGAGAGAGATTCAGTGTTTTTTAGTTCTCATTCATGATCCCTTTTAATTCCAACAGCATCTACCATTTTTTGTGAATGAAGTCGATGATTTCAAATCTTCAAAAGGATATGGCTAATGCCATTGATTGCTGAAGTGATATCCCTTCTCACGACTTGGAGATAGAAATGAGTCCTCAACACAAGCCGTATTATATTTCCAATTAGATTTAATCCAACCATCACACACATCGCAGCGAGTTTATGGCTCAAGCAAGGTACTAGTTGACCATTCTAAATCCTATTATGCTTACAAATGATTCAATATTCATAATTCAATATATGAATATTTCTAAGGCATCAAAAAATTTAATGAAAATATAATAAGCGAGTTTTTTTAAAATCTACCAGAGCTTGTAAAAGGCATAGAGCTGCGACCAGCTATATACTCCTTCAACCCATGATTGATGGTCATTAGCTAAATATGATCCAGTAGAATTAGCGTATTTTTCGTATTCGCGAATCCAAATTTGACTTCCTTTAACACCCATCGAATATTCCATTGATTCGAATTCTCTAATCATTTTTTTGATGATTTTCCGATTTTTCTCATTCGTCATATCTGGAGCTTTGACGACGGCAATTTCGATCTTAAAAGTATAAAATATTTGATTAAATTAGCAATTTCACTATGTTTAAAATTTAAAATGGTGACCGCTATGCCTTACGTAAATAATGGATTTTTTAAAAACAATTTGGCATTTTTCCACAGGTGTTTATAACATGGAAACTGGGTCCAACCACTTTACATTTGTGCTATTTCACATTATTTCATCATTCTACTTAAACTATAAACTAAATTTGAAAACTACTTGGTCTCCTCCATGGAAAAGTTCAATCTCAATGGCGATAGTGTTAGCAATTGGATCAGATTTAATCAACAGTTTTTCGAAATCTAATCCTTGTTGCATTATAGCCAATCCATATAATGATAACTAAAAGCACTCAGATTAATTTATTATTAATTTATTATTACTATTGTTCTATCAGGCCAATTTAATTGTTTTTATTTCCTGTATTCAAATCTTATTTTCTCTAAGTTCATCAGCTAATTTTCAAGAAATCCCATCTCTAAATGAAGCCTAAATATCAAATCTCCTAGTTCGTCCTGCGTATTTTTGCTCAGCAGATATTAAAAATAAAAATGAATAAAAGTGAGCTTCAGCATCTTATTGTGCCAGAAAACCTAATAATCCACTTAATAAGCCGTTTAATTAGTTATTGACCAAATATATTTGTTTCTATTGCAAAGCTATTTTTCTGCATAATTATTGCTGCGAGGCTATATTTGCCAATCTAACACGTATTTATAAACGAATATTAACGAAATTTACCGAAATATAGAACATGAAGAGCAACAATACAATGATCCTTGTCTTAGCATCTAGTAAAAATGGAACATAAATTTGCCTAGAAAAATTTTTTTATTAAATTTTTAAAACGCTGAAAAACATCGCATTTTAAAACGAGCAAATATCTTTTACTTGCCTAAAAAAAACCCCCATAGTACCAAATGATTTCTGAGAATTCAATTTACTGGAATTTTTGAGTTTATCGGGAGGTTTTAAGCCTAACACATGTGATGCTTTCTGCAACTTGCATGCGTTATTCTGTGAGGAGTGAAGTCCTGAAACATGAGATTTTTTATTATGCGCTGGATAGTTCGTAAAAGCAATAGTGTTAGTTTCATTGAACGAAAGTTCTACAAAATTTTAAATTATTAATTGCAGTTCAACAAAAATTCGAAGCTAACCAAAAGCTATACAGTTTCATTTCAATAATTTGAAATAAATCTTTCATGTTATATGCTTCAAATCGATTTGAAATTTGACCCTTCCTGTAGCTTTCAGCATTTTTCATTTCTTTATATTGATCAACTGTCTTCAAAAATGGAAAAAACGAGTTTCTCTCTCGTAGCTGTATTTTACCACTTATCACCATAACAGCAGCAAAAAATGTGAGCTGAAAATCTGCATTATGCATATATTAGAAATAAATTTGGATACGATTACTGATTGCCGACAGAAGATTACTGACAGAAATAACATTTCAAGCTACATTTTTCATTTAAAAACCTGCTTATCGCTTTAAAAGCATACCATTAGAATTCTAAATTTGCGCATGGTATTTCTCATTCCTATGCCATAATTACTTGCAAAAATTGAGATTTCGTTAATGTAATTCCATCGAACTTGCCGCTTTTAGCAAAGTTTTATCATTCTATCTTTTTAGTTTGATGTTTGGTAATGATGGTCAAGGTAGAGTTACAATCATTCCTAAATAGGGGCACAAGTCTACAATTCGGTTTTCGTTCCTGGTAAAAGGCTCATTCCTACTAGAGAGGAAAAGAATCGAAGCCATAAGTTGTGACCCTAATGCTTACCATTCGACCATCCTGTTTTTGCTAAATCTTCTTTAATCTTACCAGGATTTTTTTTTAAACATCTCAAAATCAATTCATCACTATCGTACATGGTATAAAAAAGTGAATAGCAAACAAGCAGCAGTCATCGCACAAAAACTTCGGACTGCAACAATATCTGTATAACATCCAACAGTGAATGATAAGATATCAGTAATACTCGTTATAAAAATGGCAACTGCAGATTCAGACATTGCTTCGACCATTCGATATTTTAAAATCTCATCACTTTTGCCTTAAAAATTCGATTAAAGTATTACTTCGAGTTCTCATTTATCAATAACTCAATATCCAGCAGCATATTTGCGTAAAATATGGAAATTATGCATTAAAGAACATGAAAGTGTCAATTTTTTTGGAATTATTGCCTGCATGGCATTTACTGAATTTTTTTTGACATGCATTACTATTACATTTGACATCTATCGATTAAAAATAGCGAATTAAACTCGATCATTCTCGTTTTACATAGGAAAACCATTATTCGAAAAACGATAATTATAATTCGTTTTGGCGGATTTAAAAAGAAAACTTGATGAAGCTAAGCCTAACCGACCTAGTTGTTCACCATGAACCACATTTTATTCTTTTTCATATATTTTATTTATCTTTATTCTAAGAAAAAAATAAAAGCTATGCTAATGTGATATCCAATCCATACAAATATATTTTTACGTCTATGTTTCGAAGGAAAATCTCGACCTGGATAAGCTATTTCTGTGTTATGCCATGCAGCAACAGCTATGAACATATCGTCTACGCCGATGGCTGAAATATACGATTTGAACAAATAAAATCAAAAATCATTTATGTTCCACGATCATTTATATATCTGCGAATTATTTTGGAAATTTTCGGCTGAATTCGGCATTTAGAATACATAAATATAAATATATAAATTTATGATGAATTCCAATTATTTATGACGATGATTTTTATTCATTTTTCTTTTCTTTTTAAAAGGTTTTTACTATTTGTGATTTCACTAGCTCCATTGGCCTTTGCGATTAAAATTCGCTGCCATAGAGTTAATTCGAGATAGAAGAACAAGTCTTCTGATCTGCTTAGTCGAAATAAGTATGCGTTCTCTTCATCTCTTTATTAAAAGTGAAGAAATTTAAATGTAAAAAAATTTCTATCAGCTAATATTTAAGAATGAGAATAATGCGAGGTGATATCGCCATTTTCTCATTTCCACATTATCAAAGAAGTAATCGGAGCGAAATTCTTATAGAATTTTTTATATTTTTTCAGAATTTTCGAAAATAATTTCCAAACATTTAGAATCCATAAATATTCGGCTTATTTATTCTTGTTAACTTTGTTATTTATTCCATCAAAGAGAGAAATTCTTGGTTTTCTTGGCTATTTCGTTAGCATCATAAGTAAAATAAACTTACATAAGACAAGAAATGGAGCAACAAGCGTAATTTCAGCAAAGATCATACCGCACCATAATAAAAGGCCAATTCCACTGATAATAGCTAATCCGGACGAAAGAACACCAGATAATGCTAGCCAAGGTTTCGATCGAAGCCAATCAATTCTTATCGCTAAAACGATTCTTGAAAATAAAGATGAGTGCCTGCCAATTTTTAGTTTCTTTGGAGCTTTGGTATTTGCCATCGTGAAATTTCTAAAGCGGTGCCTTTTTAATAGTCAAATCAAAAGTAGAGAAAATCAAATGTCATAAGAATATTCGACTAATCAGTATGAATTCGCCTATCACATTCTTGGATTGCAAATCCAGACTGTGTATGAAAACCATAATCAAGTTTCATTTTTAGATGGAAAAATGAGAATTCGGATTATAAATAAATGTACAAATATTCAGTACATTTAAAACATTAGGATTTTCTAAGCATTAGGAAAAAGCAGATGATGAAACTTTGGGTAACACATTAATTTCAGGGCATTAATAAACAAGGCTAAGAGAAAAATAAACTAACTTGTTAAATTACCCGGGCATGTCCACTTAATAGCATTAAAAGTAGTAAAAAATATTAGAACGATTAGAGTAACCGAAAAATATGGCTTTAGCCGATTGGCATTTCTTGTAAGACCTTGGTCGATTAGTCTTGAATGTTGAATATGTACCTAAAACATACTTAGAATACCAGTCATTATTGCTCATTCTTTATCGTGAAAAATTACCTCAATATGCGAATTATTTGCAAAATTCTTCTCGATATATGTTGCAGCCTCATCTTCCCATTTCATTGACATCGCATTGTATTCTGGTGAATCAAATCTTAAAAAATACCAAAGGCGCATTCCTCTAACCAACTGAAAATATTTTTTTTCGCATTTGTAATTTATGCAAAACTAGTTCATTCAGAGAAAAACTTCAGAGTGGAATGAACATGTCGCTACCATGATTTAATTGGCTCATTCTAGATTCTATGGATCCAGCGCACTTTATCTAACAATATATTCGCAAAATGTAGTAATTAATATAAAAAAAAAAGCAAAAAAGGCAGAGGCTTATATTTTAACCTACACTTGTTTATAAAAAGCCCATTCAATTTAAATTCTTTATATAAGATAAAGTATGCTATTTTCTGGAAAGCCACTAATAAATACCTTCAAAATCTATATGAAGAATTAAATTATATTTTATTTTGAATGGAAAATCAATGGAACAATGACCTTAATAGTGCCATTTTTGTGAGAATCAACGCCTCCTATATTATAAGCTAAATAAATTGGAGTGCCATCTGTGTTAGCTCTTGGATAGGTGATACCGATTCCATGTCGTTCAAGCTGTTGGCGATTTTGGAGTAATTTAATGAGGTTCGTCTGTCGATAGCATTCATCGTGCCAGCTTAGACAAAGATCCTTCAATAAATTGTTTATTCATCTCATTATCTTTACTCTGATAATTTCCATTAGTTTATTAATTTTTTTCACTAATCGTTATTGCTTTCATGAACTATGTTGTAAAAATAAGAATGTGGCGTACCATCATAATAACTGGGCAATTCGCTGACAAAAATTTCTAACCGCACTAATGGCCGGCGCATCTAGCTTAATTGAAACAGTGAAACGCTTATTTTAATCACACTATTTACTTTTTACCTATCGAATGGTGAAATTACCTGAAAATAGACATACCTGAAAATGGACTGTTTTACCGATTGTATTCGTGCGATTCGTCCTCCATCTATCCTGCATTGCAAAGTGAATATTTTCCACTATATTTCTGTCTAAATCTTGTATTTCTTTTAAATACAATTGATCCAAAATATTTGGAAATACTCCGTCTAATCTTCGTTTGCCATGAACTACGACATATACATACCGATTCCATTCAAAAGTTCTTTCTGGCATAAATTCGTTCACATCTATTGGCCAAAGCTGTAAAATGTCTTTAATATTATGTCTATTATAAAACGTCTTTTTAGAAAAAACTTTGATCTGCTTTGATTGTATTAATGTTTAATATTTAATATTTAATATATTATTTAATTTAATATTTAATATTTATTTATGTTTAATATTTCCTTTCATTAATGTTTACTCTGAAAATAAATTCTAAACAAAATTCTTGATCAACTAATCAGCTAAGAATTATTCTAAATGGGCCTTACGTCCACCAAACGATAATCAAAAGTTGCGGCTCATAAATTTAAAAGCCATTGCAGTTATTCCAGTAAAAAAGTAAATTTTATGGAGCATGCTTCATGTGTGAGGCATGCGTGTGATGTTAATATGAGTTCTTTTTATCTTGGTGGGAGAAAATCTATCATTTAAGGAGAAATTTGAGTGGTCCTAGGATAGGGTCAATTTGTTGCTGACTTTCCGGTGAAATTAGAACAATGATGGCCAACCCAGACAAGAAATGACCTAGAAAATATATTTCTTAGAAAATATACTTATGATAATATGCCTTATCTGATTAGCTGATAAATTAAAACTTATCGAAACTAACTACACCTATCAATTTAATAATAAAAAAAAGAAATTCGAAATCTATGGGCAATTCAATTTATAAGCGACAAATAATCAAATGAAGCCTATCAATTAGCTTTTTTCAAAAACTCAGACTAAATTACCTCACGCATAATTTGTTCCTCTTTCCACGAGGGAGCTGATATCGGTGTATATAATTTCTTTGCATTTTGTACTGTCAAGTCCTTGATCCAAATAAAACCGCTCCCAAGTATAGCAGTTAATAATATAGGAAATATGAATAACAAATAATAATAATCAGTTAAAACATTTCGCGTATACCAAGCAAATAGTTTCATTAAAGGTTTATCTAATGTTGGTACTAAACATTTCATTTTTAAAAAATACCTGCATAAAAATAAATTCATTAATTTCCCTTTGACTTCATGACGACAATAAAAGCGAATTCTCTAATATTTCATAATAAAAATGAAGTAAAAATAAAATAATTATGAAAGAGAGAAAAATGAAATTGATAATTAATGTTAATAAAAAAGAAGACCCTTAACAGCACTCACCATATCTGGCTTGGCTGGTTCTATTGGTTATTATGAATATATCTTCGTTAGAGAGCCACTTAAATTCTTAACGCCACCGGGATTCGAAGAAAGATTTACATTTATACTTATCTTATTTTCCACTTACTTTTCTTTTTCTCTTTTCTCACCGTATCAGTCCAGGTCTTGATTGGCCTACCTCACTTTTGACGCCAACCATCAATCAACTCCTGTGGTGAGAAAAGATTTTGAACGTATAGGTGGAGCAGCAATATATGGACTTAGACGATGGAAAAAGGAATGGCTTCCATTACTGTCGACGATGGCATCAGAACGTACCGCTTGGAAACGTCTTACCCTTGTAGGCGTTGGAGTTAGCCTAACCAGTAATGGTGAGAGCTGTTAGAAGAAGATTTTCCACTTACTTCTTTTCTAACGGCAGGAGCCAAGCCTAAGCAGATTAGCTTTAACATTCGACTACCTAAGGGATTGAAAAAAAATCATCATAAAATTAAAAAGGCTTTTGTGAAACTTGGATGACTGTTTTAGGCATAATGTTACAAAATCTAACTTCCTAAGTGGAAAATAATTTTTGCATATATTAGGTTTATTAATTTTAAAAAATAAAAAAATATACACAGCAATGAGCGAAGACAATCATAATTTCTCCAATATTGTAGATACATAAAGAAATAATTACTCCAAAAACAGGTATTTTTGGCAAACAATACTTCATATTCATTGCTTTATGCACAATGATAAATGAGCGCTGAGGCATTCTCATAGAATTTGAACATAATTGCCTTTCCTCGTGATTGTGAAATAAATACAATAAATTCAACTCAATTCAAATTATCTGTGAAAAATCGTTCGCTGCAATAATTTGTCAATCAGTAAACCTGTTTCAGTTCTCAGTGTATTGCACTGAACACAGTTTTTTCAGAAAAAAAATATCTCTCAGACCATAGTCGCCAACAAATCTCTCTCTATGGAATAGATTATTTTTGGCATTTAATTATTTATTTAGAAAATTTTCTTCTCATCAGTTATATTCGTAATTTATTCATAAATGGTTACTATTTCTGGTTAGTTAGTTAGGGTTATTAGTTAGAAATCTTCCCGGGAAATTGGAGATGAAAGAAAAGATAGATCGCCAGCGCCTTTTTTGATGACAAGTCTATTAAAAAATTCATTTGAAGAAAATTTCCATTCAAACCGAATATACAGAACCATTCAGTACGATGATTTCTCTATTCTCTTTTATCATTTCCTCCATTCCTTCCATTTATCATTCATTCATAATCATAAGTGCATTTCGAAAGAATTCCTTTATTCCATACTCATCCTTAATTGGGATAAATTAAAAGTTTTGCCAAACTAGGAGGGCTACTGAAACTTCTTTTGTCTTCAGTAGTTTCTGGATGAATGAATTAAAGCCACTTTAAATGGTGGATCACAATGAAATCACAATGCGACAATAGTTTTAATTATTTAAAAGAGCTTAAAGGCGTAAATCCCGTAAAGACGCCATAGGCCCCATGTAAATGACGTTAGAGCCGTTCTTAGAATATCCTTAGAAAATTAAAAATTAAAATTTGGTTGTCGGTCGGTATATCATAACTCTTCAATTCTTAACTTTTCCTAATAATTCTTCTGCTTATTAGCCATCCGTAGAAAATTACTTGCGTTTTTTGCACAGAGGAAGAAAAAAGTCCTCCACTTTTGTTAAAATGGATAAGCCAGCAGAATTAGCGATTGAAATATGAAAGGGCTAAGGTCCATTCTGATTAAGACGAACAATACAAAGGATTTATAGAAAAAGCTTATTGGCAAAAAATTTATGAAGGATTAACAAAATTATTAAAAATCAATCTTGTTGAATATGCAAAAAAGCCTATTTAAAACGGTTCACCAGAAACTGTTTCATTTCTAAAACTCGCTTACTAGCTTTCATCGTAAATAATTCTTGTTATTAATTGAAATAATTGAATAAATTATTTTACTATGTATGAAGTTATTAGTTATTTACTATGAAGTTATTTGATTTAGAAATTGCTATCGTAAGGAAAATTTCCAAATATTCGAAAACAGTCACAAAAATATCAGTTAAAATGGATTTGATAAGATTTATATCCATTATACTATTTGTACATTATTTTAATGAGCAAAGTATATCTGTCAGCATGGTTCTTTTTTGTACATTTGTCTTTCGGAATACTATAATGAGTAAATGTTTGGCAATTCAGGCTGGAAACCTCAAAATCGATTGAATTTGCCGATCAGTAGTGCATTGTTTTACCACCTTCAGACTAATTTATTTCGTTGAAAATTTCGTAAATCAATTTGTTATTTCATAAATAAAGGAATAATCAAAGTAGTCAATCTTCCTGCTAATTTTTTGATTATTAAAAATTGGTTTCGTTATCTGTAGAGCTTTCTGAATTTTTTTACTTTTAGAATTCCAACTACAAACCATGTATCACTAAATCGCTGATTAAATGTGATGAAGATAATGGCACAGAATATTGTGGTTGCGAATTCCATAAATTGCACTGGAGAAATCTTCATTAGTTTTTTCCAACAAAAAGTATGAATAGCCCTGCTAAATAACTGTGCAACTCTTTGCAGTGCTACACTCATTTAGATCAAAAGATTAAGCCTCATCCTGCGCCATGCCTGAAATTAACATCCATTCTTTTATGCCTTAAGCTCTTAAATTGCCGGAAGCTATATATTGAAAATCTCGCCTGAATATGTCGGTCCATTCACAGGATATAAAATATTTAGTGCAAAGAGTAAGCTTTTGCCTTTAACCCGTCGAGCATTATAATTTTGTTTCGGCATATCTTTTTTCGATAAAAATTAGTTGTTATGGTGTCTATTATTTGGAAAAAATTACTTTTTTGATTAGACAAAAATTCATGTGAAATTTTAAAGTCTTTCATTTAAAAGCCTCTGCAAAAAAAAATTGGAAACCATATTATTTCCGATTTTATATTAAAATATTTGTTCATATGTCCACTTGTTCTAACACATATTCTGCAACACGTAAGTCGTTTTTGACTTAGTGCCAAAGTTTTAAAAGCAAAGAAACTAATCTTAAAATCTATATATCAAAAAAATTATTTTCATTTTCATTTCTTTATCCTCTTTACTCAATCCTATATAAACTGTGCTGAGTAAAGCAAATTTTATTTCCTTTTTAGCCTAGTTCCATCGCCGATGTTCAGAATATTCGGTAAACTCGATACAAATATTAGCAGAATGAAGTTATAAAAGCTGTCGGATATTAGAATTTATTTAATCTTTTAAAATTGGTTAGAAAAATTACATTATAATTTTTTAATCAATTGCAATTAACAGTAAGTACGGAAAATTTTTTAATGCCCAATGTAACAGTGCTATAAATTGGTCTATAAAAGAGAGGTGGACCAATAAGACCTGGACTGATACGGTCAGAAAAGATTTCGAACGTATAGGTGGACCAGCAGTATATGGATTTAGACGATGGAAAAAGGGATGGCTTCTATTACTGCCAGCGATGGCGTCAGACCGAGCAGCTTGGAGACGTCTTACCCTTGTAGCCATTGGAGCTAGCCTAACCAGTAATGATGAGAACTGTTAGAAGAAATTCTATAAATAGCTTTAACAATTTCACTCTATTAAATTTCATGATACTGGAACATTTAATACATTAAATGGTCTTTTTTTATATAGCAGGCAGAATGGAAGTAAAAAAAAATAAAATCTGATCGAAATATGTTTGAGTCACCAAAAGTGATTTGACCAAAACTCAATAAAACAAAGAAATTCGAAATTAACAAAAAATTTATTTTGTACGGTCGTGCATAACCGCTTTTATATTTCTTTTCTTTGCAGAACGATAGCTAATAATAAATGAAAAACCGTCTTTCATTCCATATAAAATGCTTCAATACTTTAATTAAAGAAGTGTAAAAAATGTTCAACAGAGAGTTTTTTTAGAATACGATCAACGGTTTTAAAAAAATATACTTTTATGAAATCTTAATTAACTTGTTCACCTACACTATAAAGAAAAGAGAGATCTTGGTGATCTACGACTAGATGCGTAATATTTTATGCCTAATTTGCACCATAAGAAAATCAACCACTTGAACCTAAAACATTTCAGAAAATCAATTATGGAAAAATTCGAAAATGAAGGAATTGAATCTTAATCATTTCGAAAATGATTCAATGATTTTGCTTGAAGAGTTTTTTTTATGGTTGGAAAATTTCACTTTCTATGAATTCTAAGTATTTTGTTGTTGAGTATAATTTATTATTATTGGGATGTTTCCTCATTATTTTCTTAAATTTTTATTTGACTATGGCTTAGCATGCTTTGGCATATGCTTTGTTAATTTGGTTGTCTAATCCATTTCTAATCCAAATCCATTTTTCATCCAATTCTTTAAATGATGGACATTTTGGATCACGAAGGATCGCTATTTAATAAACGTATCTACATTTTTTCTTCCTCCGTATCGAGTTGATTTCATTCCGATTATTTATTTCCAGATTTTTTTAAGTTGAAAAATAGTTCTTTTTTAGCTAATGTTATATCAGTACCAATTACAATGTACAATATGTAAGTCTTTTTTGATACTCTATATGTTATTCACTTGGGCTGGAAAATCGAAAAGTGAACAAAACTTGTGGAAACTGTATGATGATTTCAGGAAAGCGTTGGTCCTTATTTTTCTTATTTTTGGTTTTTACCGTTTCCATTTATTGTTGGTTAATTAATTTATTTTGAGTTGGTAATTTATTGAGATATAATTTCAATTGCTGACTGCTTTAGTTAATATCCAGTTGATTAAGTTATCCTCGAGTATATGGGACTGATGAGATTTATGATCGATTTGAAATATTCTGCAAAAATCTCGAGATTATTGATGAATTAAATTCTAAAAATAATTCGGTTATTTATGGCATAACGAAATTTGCTGATTGGAAAGACGATGAATTAAAAACGGTTTTCTTTTTAAACGCTTTTTATTCTTTATCCATTCTTTTTGATGAAATAATTTTAATGATTTTGGAATTTCGATTTTTTCAGAACAATGTTTCTTATATAAAATTCGATAAAATGGATACAAGATTTATGTATAGTAATTGGATACATTTGAAATGGGACGGAAAAACGAAAATACCAATTTCTTGGGATTGGAGGGATCTCAGAGCAGTTACTCATGTTAAGTCACAAAGTACTCAATTTTTATTATCATGATTAGAAGAGAACCTTTGAACATTACAAAAGAATTACATTTCATTTCATTTCTTCAATTATGTAAAATAATGTTTCTTGCATATTTTCTTATTATTTCGCATTAAATATGCATTTTATTTTGCTAATTTATGCTTTGAATCAATAAATGTTCAGAATTAGCCGGAATTCAAAAAGAATTAATTAATTCTGATAAAGTTCGATTCGATAATTTTTATTCTTCGCATTTCTTTTTGATGTTTTAATGATGCTTGTAATGTAGAATTGAATAATAATAATATAATAATAATAATAATTAATAATAATAATAATAAATTTGGAAAAACGATGTTTTCCCATAAATAATTTCTAGTAGTCTGATGAGCTATTACTCAATCATTATCGATTAGATTCATTTCCGTTTCCGACTAGATTCGTTGGCTCTCAAAATCAGAAATTTTCTCCTGATAGTCACTTGAAAATGGAACAGTCCCAAGCATCAAACGGATTTCTTAATTTTAGCTTTACTTTTGTAAAAGATAAGGATTAAAGAAAGCATTTGAAACGGTAGTCTGAACAGCTCTTCACTCAGTCTATTCCAGTTCACTACACTCTAATATCATTATAATTTACATATCCAATTCACTACAATCATACATATCGTTTCATTTTCTGATCAAAAAATGGTCAAAAAATTGTCTATTGTAAAAAATTGTATTTGATCGTATTTGAAATACGTGTTTCTCAAAAAAATTATTTCATCACGTCAATGCCAATCTTGCTGGGCGTTCTCAGTGGCAGCAGTCGTCGAGTCACTGTATTATTTAAAATATGGGCGGTATATTTCAATCTCTGAATCTGAAATGGTTGACTGCGATCACATGAATGAAGGATGTGTAGGTGGAAATACAAAGCATGCTCTGTGGTAAGTTGATAAATAATTATGATGAAATGATGAAATGAAATTTTACGGATTCTTCCCCTTCATCGTCCCTTTATTTGCATTAATTATTGTATAAGCAAATTCGTGAACTTTGACCTTATTTGAACAAAACTTATACCTTCGATCCATAGCTGTTGCAAATAACGCTTCAGCTACAAGTAATTTTTGTGAAAATTTGATAATTTTCTAAGTAATTCGAATTATGCTGTGGTAATTATAGTTATAGGCGAGGCAGTTATAAAGGATTTATTCAACACCACGACTACTTCCCATCACCACTTGGGCATCGATATTACTGCCCAAAATATTCGACTATTTTCCTGGACAAACTCTATTTTATCCATCCAGATGAGAATTCAATCGCGTGGTTTATCTCATACATTGGACCTGTATCATTAAGTAATAATTTGCATTACAAAATTATTATTTGTAATATAAATAAAATGTCTAATAGAAGAAAAAATCGGCTAAATTAGCTAAATATTAATATTTCGATAAATTTTCAAGGTACTTTATACTATTAAAATTACAATATTAAAAGATGAATGGCCACTGACAATGAGCGATTTTTTAATAATTTCATAACAAATTATTCTATATAAAAATCGTTATTAAGTCCAAATTTGTCAAATTAGAGCGAGCATAAAGACTTCAATCTTAAAAAATTGTATTTAAAAAAATCTAAAGATATTTTATTACTATAATTGAAATGGTTAGATTAAATAAAAATAATAAGAATATTAAATAAATATAATGGTGGTTAAGCTGATCCCAGTGGTTGTCAGTGAAAGGTTTTTTAGATAGAAACGCGGATGGGTCCTCATCATCCATGTTTTTTGATCCTTAACCCTGTCAGAGAAAGCATTTGGATGTTTCGAATGTTCGATCACGTTATTCCTCTAAAATACGTGCATATTAATGCTATTAAAAAGATTCATTAATATTCATTAAAATGGGATATTTCCACAAAACTGCTCCTATTTTGTAAGGTCTCTTGTAGATCTTGCCATGTTGCAAATCAATAAATTATACAAAGGTGGTATAATAATGGATTCAAAAGAATGTCGAGAAATCATTCCAAATCATTCAGCAGAAGCGATTGGTTTTGGCGAAGAAAATGGAACCAAATATTGGATCTTGAAAAATAGTTGGGGACATGAGTAAATTTATTAAAATCTCGATTTGCTTTTAATTTCTAGTTTTGAATCATATGAAAGAGAAATGAAATGAAGCTTTGGCTGAAAAATTCCAGTGATTTAACGATAAAATTATTAAATTGTCAATAAGGCTTGCAAAAAGTACCATTTATAATGAAAGAGAGAAGAAATATACAAATAATTTTATTCGTAATCTCGATCTGCATCTGTACACATTTTATCACAATATTATATATGACATACCTTGATTTAATAAAATTCTTATTTCAGATGGGGAGAAAATGGTTTCTTTAGAATACAACGTGGCATAAACGCTTGCAATATTGAATCATTTATTGTTTCAGCGAGCATTCACTAATTTTCTCGCGAAATTCTCGAGAAAATAATCAACTATGAAATTAGAAATGATATTACGATAAAATAAATAATGCCCACAAATTTGAATTATAAGTTGTAAAAAGAAAAAATTCAACTGAGTCTGGTTATTAATCTCAAATACCCATACATTGGAGAGATCAGCAAGAAGTTATCTATTTCTTACGCTCAACTTAGCCTCAGCGTTTCCACATATTTTTATATAACAAGCTTTTTTAGTTCTTATTAATCTAATGCTACCAATTTTTGCATGCGCAAAGTTTCCTTCTATCAATCTTCTGTTGATATTCGCCATTATCTGGCTATTCTTATCTTATCTGGCTTATCTGGCTATTTTTCCACAGAGATAAGTTAATCTCCAGTCTTATCTGGTTTCCATTTTTATTAACAGGCTACTCATATTGACGGCCAGAAATCAAAACCAATGATGAGTGAGAAATGTGCCGCTATACTCGGCAATCCTCTGATAACTGAGATATCTATTTATGCATCATTTTCAATACTACAAATAAAGAATTACAATAGTAGAGCAAATTTTCATAATTCATTTCTTTAAAGCAATTTATATTGAAATGAATTTGTATTTTTGCGGAAGTTCTTTTTGTCATCTATTTCTCGCTTTTACCATGAAGTAGTGAATTATAATTTTCAAAGAATAAATATTTTTGCTCCATTAAAATAATCAATTATTAAATTGCATTTTAATATTCAAGAATTAAAAGTTTTAAATACATTTATATGTGAATGTAATAGTTTTTTTCTTTTTTTGTCTGAAAAGAAAATAAATGCTTAGCGAGCATTGTTTCTGGTTAAAATAGGCTTTCTTTACGATGAAAAAATGAGTCTTTTGAAAATAGAAATATGAGTGAATTCCCAGTCATCAGTACCAGCAGAATTTTTTAACGACTTCTCGGTGATATGATTTGAACCTTGGCACATATGATATGAATCTTGACGATGTAAATCTGAGCGGCAACAACCCTGTATCCTGTCTTTTTTAAATAATTAGATCAAAGTGATAGTCTCAATCGTTAGCTGATCTGATATTTGTAATTCGTAATTATTAATTATATCCCTTGATGAACATTCTAAAAATTTTATCGAATTTGTTGTGAGAATTTATTGAATTAGTTAGTTACCTTTACTGACTGACTATCCGCAATGAAGTACCGTCAAGTATTTGCTATAGAACATTAAAATTTATGTTCGCATATTCGCATTTTTTGTTTTGTTTATTAATTTCAGAGATTTGCTTTATTGCTGATTTGATTTTGATTTATTTTGCTATGGATATTGCTATGGATACATAAATTATCCTTAATCTTATCGTTGAATATGCATATATACTAAAAATAAACATGATGAGTTTTTTATCATTCGTATAATACGACATCCAGTTTGATATTCTATATGTATTCATCGATTTTTTGCAGCAGTATAGACGAATATATATTCCTTAGAATATTAATTCTAAAACATTCAAATGGTATGATGGACCCACTTATACTCCTAATTTTTTGATTCCTTTGCAAAAATGTCGCATTTAGCTAATAGCCAAGCTCTGAAATGGCCAATATTAATTTGTGGTAACCACTAACTAATAAACATTTGATTCATTGAATTTTTTGTGTCTTTATGGAGTTTTGAGTATTCGAAAAAATTTTAAAAAAAAGACCCTGCCAGAAGGAAAGAAAGAACTAATTCCATATTCCTGCTGCCAAATCGCCGCTTGAATTGATGCTTGTTCTCAAATATTCATAGAAATTGCTTTAGAATATTCTCTGCTTGTGTTATTAAAAAATTAAATTCATTTACGATTTAAAACTGTTTTTCATTTAGCTCCATAAATCACCAAATTTCTCGATGCCAGTTTAAATAAGCGATACCGGTTTGCTTCAGCATTTAGAATTCATGCAGCCCAATAACATCTCTGCAAATGCAGAACAGTATTTAGAAACAGTATTTAGTAACAGTATTTAATGTTTAGAAATATCGTATTAATGAAGAATAGATGAGGAAAACTTTTAAAAAAATTTTAGCATATTTCAGCAATTTTAGCAAATTTTAAAAGAAATAAAGTCGATTTTAAAAAAAGAATTTAGAATCTAAAACTTTCGAATTAGATTAATGTTAACAGAAAATTCGAATATTTTCGCTAATTCAAATGGAATGAAATTGGCAGTAAAAATTTTCAAAGTCATATTCATAGTGGCAAACTTATTGCGATCATCACAATAGATGTAGAAATACTTGAATTATGTATGTGTCATATCAACTAATAACAGCGCTGGCAAAATAATATTTCAGCTAAAGCCAAATCTTATTGAACTATATCACCATATTACCATATCATCATATCACCATATTACTACACACACCATATTTCATGTATGGGAAAGTTCATTTATCTATGCAAAATCATCGCAATATAAATTACAGAAAGATTTTTAAAAAATTATCATGAAATGAAATGAAATTAAGGATGTATTTTTACAGAATATAGCTGGAGAAACTTTGAATTAGAGAACAATCGCTCAATTCTTGCATTCAAAAAATTTAGAACAAATTTTACATTAAAAATTATGCATACTTCTTATTTCTTAAATATTAAAAATTAATTCAGTCTTAGTTTGCTAATTCTAAAAGTAAAAGTTGAAACAATCGAAGAAATTAAAAAGAAAATATAAATTAATGAAGCAAGATGAAAACTCCACGCGAGTAGTGCTGGCGATCCGCTTATATTTTTATCGCCAAATGATTTTTTGATAAAGTTTGACCGCTCTGATAAGGCAGGAGAGCAAGTTTAACGATAATTCAGAAAAAAGAGAGCTCCACACAGCAAAATATTTTAATATTTAAGAAATAAGAAGTATGCATAACTTTTTATTAAATATAATCAAATATAATTTTTTAGTTTGTGGGTTGCAAAAAAAGAAACATTTTTCACTTTTTAGCAGTTTTATTTGTAATTAATTAAACAAGCATAATATGCCAGCAATAATAATTGATAATTTGTAATAAAAGAAATATTGAAAGTGAAAATCAACAATGTGAAAAAGGCACTTAGAGAAATTTAATAAATTTCTTTCCATTTTATCTTTAACTCTTTGCAGTTTAGATCAATCAATTCAAATTATAATCAAAAGGGTTTGCAAAGTTTTAAAAAAATTTATTTTATTGAATTGAAAATCTGAAAATTCACTTTAAATAATTATTTTTTCTCGATATAACTGGTTGTTTATTTTTCAAAAGTTGACAGTTTGGAAAATGCTTTGGAAAATTATCATTAATTCGTAGCTGAGACTTGAATAGCAATAATTTCATTTAAAATGCATATTTAATCAGCAGTTTGAAATTCATTGCATATAAACAGATATTAGGAAAAAAGCGTCAATCATATTTTAAATCTTTAAAATGGCAATGGTTAAATTTTCCAAACTAATAATTTTTACATCTTCAAGTAAAGCAACGTCGTAGCAGAGATATTCAGTATGATTCAAGGTGCAGACTACGTAAAAAAGCCTCAGGAATTATCCAACATTTCGTGAGTATAAGATGTAGGAAAGAACAGCATATATAAACTGAAAGGACAACGAAGTTGCATTCTTTATAGGAATATTTGCTTAATATATGGCCAAAAGTCCCAAGATCGAATGAAAAATAGTGAATAATAAGGTGAAGATCCTGTGGGACCTTTTCCATCGAAAAAGATAAACAAGTATTGACCGATGAACTAAATATCATGGTAGTAGACAAGAACCAAAAATCAGCACTGGTGATGGATATAGCAATATCAAGAGAGGAATATTCGAATACGAAGCTGGACATCTGAATAAATAAATAGGAGCTGAAAAAAGAGAAGAAAATGAGGAGTAGTTCCACCCGTAATAAAAACACTAGAAGGACTGAGATCCGTAAATTGGAAACTAGTTTCAACAGATTCCAGAAGCAACATTCGAGATCTCTGCCTAAAACAGCGCACTGCTAAGATATAGCACAGAAGCCTCCCATTGCTCTAGTAGAGAACCCGACTTTGAAGACCTATACCATCCACAAAGAGGTAAGAAAGGAATTATAAATCAAATAATAGTTTTGCGAAGAAAAAAAACCAAATTTACCAGTAAATGAGCATAAAACTGTTTAAATGCCAAAAACTTTGCAAGTATATATTGACTATTGATAGGCCAGAGAAGAAATGAGGCAGCAAATACGATTTTCTCAATACGTTGAGAATATGGCGATGATGGTTGAAGACGCATATTGGCCTGATTAAAAGATTTTTGTGGCGGCTCAAGTAATCCATCATCACTTTCTTCATCGTCGGATTCATTTTCAAGACATTCCTAAATGACTATTTAAAACATGTAATCTTTAACATATAATGGGATGATTTGTAAACGCAATCTTTTCAGACGACAGGTCGCAGCGGAATGGAAAACGAGATTTTCACTTTTTAATTTTCACTTTTTAACTTGTTACTTATAATATATTACAAATCACTACAGCAATCGTGAATGGGTACAATTTATTATAAAAATTTTTAAAATCAACAATGTGAAATTATTTTTGTTTAATATTACAAGTGAATATTACAAGACAAGTGAAATTCCTGTTCGCCCCTTAGAATTTAAAGCACAGCCACTTTGGCCGCAGAGTTGAAGTTAAAAAGCCTTTTAGTTTCAATTAAACGTATATTCATCAATCACTCAAACATCTTACTAAAAAGATTTTAAGCTTTTCCAATTATAAAAGCTAATTATCTTAAGAATTGATCAGTAAAAACACCGCACTTAACTATTTCAAAAGCAAACTGGTTGTACTTGGTTCTACGCTCGATCGTAAAATTGTGTCAAGATTTTCAGTTGGCGGCGTCATTTCCTCTATGGACAAATTTGCTGAATAACACCAGTGAAAAAACCTTCAAATATTCACAAACACAAACAGATAACTGCTATTTCTTTCAATTTTTGAGAAGAGAACTGACAAGTTTAATAAATTCCATACCACGAATTTTATCATTAGCCTTCCACTGCACTGCAGATCAATCAGTTCAAATAGTTTTGCACGCTTTACGTAAAATATTATAAAATAAAATATCAAAAAAACATCTAAAAAACAGTTTATCAACTTCAAAGTTTGAAAATTTTTCTTTAAATAATAGCTGAAGTTTTTCAATACAAATGGCATGAGGAGAACGCATTTTTCTTTGTATTTTATAATAATATTTGAACTGATATTACATTTTATATTTTTCAAAAACTATCTGAACTATCTGAAACTTAGGAAATGATAGATTACCATATTGTAACTAAGAACTGAATAACGATGAGTTTATAGGAAACATCAAATCACATTTTGGATCTTAATAAATGGCAAATGGTTAAAATTAATAATTTCCGAATTTTCCAAACTTTCCAAAATTAATAATTTTTATATCTTCAAATAAAGCAACGTAGCAACATGTTGCCTCGATTTAACTGCCAAATTTCAGAGAAATATATAACTGTGCTGTGTCGTGTCAACTTCCTCTAGAAAAGCCTTCAAGTGGAATTAAATCGTAGAAAAATTCACACCTGCTACATCACCTACAACATTATCGAATTCCATTCATTTTCTTTTTAAGTTCTGTTGATATATAGTTGGCAGAACGCAGTAATATTCCTTTATTTCTGTTGAATTCCTATTTTTACCATGTATTTGAAAAGAACAAGTCACATTCCCATCGATCGCTAAGTTGACTAATTTCATGGACCCCAACTTTTATCCAAATAAGCCATACAATAAATCTTCTACTGTTTATCCATGCAGCGGATAAATTTCTAACAGTTTTTCATGAATTTCAAAATCTATTATGACGCCATGAACAAATATAGCCATTTGAACTGTATATGCTAGATGTTGGATCTATTATTTGCAAACAGTAAGAGAATAATGAACAAATCCATTGGAGATTTCATCGTTTTTCATCTTCATCTGATTTAAAACATCGATATAATTTGGTTATGCAATAAAGACTTGAGACTTATTTTCATCCGATTATGTAAACATACTTATTTTATTAGTACTTTAATATTTCATAATACTTTAATACCATTTTTAGATGCTTCATGAATCTATATTTTATATATATTTTATGAATATATTTTGTTGAGTTGTTAGTTGATTAATGATAAACTTTTTTTATTCCTAATTCTCCAGGGTATTTTTGCTCAAATATGAATACTTGTTTTCAGGTATTTCCATAATTTGATAATATATAAAAATAATACATGCAAAATTTTCTTATTGTTTTGAATAATGCACCATCTTTCTGTCCACTGACATCCTCAAATAACTTAATGTCTCCTCTCTTCGATTTGCCATTTATTAAACCTAATCTAAATATCTCGCCTTAATGGAACAAATTAAGAGGCAATGGAAAAACAAATATTAAATAAATAAATTAAAATTTAAAAAAAAATTGAAAGAAAAACTAATAAATAAAACAAAAAAAAAATTTTCGCAGGTCCTCTTGCAAAGGTTCATACGGACATTCATACGGACCATATCCATCTCTAAGCGATGGCGAACAAAGGATTGGACTGGACTGTATTTAAATTAGCCAGTTGTAACTCACTTTTTCAAACTTTTTTATGAAGAAATTTTGAAATTTCTAGTATTAATTGAAACATCTCTAATAAGAAAAGAAATAATTTGAATAAATGAATGAGTTTATAAATTTAGTCTTTTATTCCTATAAAAAGTTTATCTTAGTTTTTCCCATTTAATAAATTAAACATGTTTTCAGATATCATTAAATTTTCATTTTTTTTTTTTCTAAATATTGTAAATGCCTAAATATTTCGAAAGGTTAAAGTGATTTATCTGCAAATTTTATTAGTTTTATATTCTTATCCCGCTAATCTTTTATTTATTTATTTAATTCCAAGATAAGGGAAAGCTTTATCTGCTAAAATCGAGAATTTACAAGAATCTCACAAAAAGAAAATGGATTTAAATTTTTTAAACTTGGCAATTTTAGCCAATTCCAAAACAATTCTAATCATAATTCTCTGCAAAAACAGCCAATAAATCATTGAATCAATGAATGAACTTTTGAGATAAATAAAAAATCCTAAAAAAAAAGGATCATTTTGTTGGCCAACTGTATGGTTAAGAAATATATGATAGGGCTAATTAGAATCAAATTAAATAAGTGGACATAAGTAATTAAACATAAGTAATTCATAGCATTCATAGTTGAAAACTGTTTTTTGCTAAAAAATAAGAGTGTAAACAATTCAGAATTCAAAAAAATTAGCTACTTGTTGCAAAAATTAACAACAAAAAACGAAGAAGTGGCATATAGATGGAACTATGGCATGCACGTCGTTGAACCATGTTATTATTGAAATCGAGAGATGAATGTCGCATTTATTTTAAATATTATAGATAGTTTTTATCTTAAACAGTTTTTCCCACTCACCTTAATTTGCTTTATACATTTATTGCCAGCGCCCACAATTCAGATGTCACAAATGATAGATTTGTCTCAAAGTGAATTTTAATGTATTCTCAGTTTTTAGCGAAGAACTTGTAAAAAGATTCCTTATTACTTGATATTCATCATTATGAAACTGCATATTTCATAGAATTGTAATTTATAAGTATAAGTATGTTATATTATTTTTTATTTTTTGCCGTTCAAGTATTTTTCATATTTTATAAAAGTTTTATTTAAATTTTCTTCGGCATATTTCCTTTCCAGCAATGCCATAAGAATTAGCCCTTTTCTTAATTTGTAAATACTCATGAGGTACAATAAATGCGAATGCAAGTGAAATATAATTCAAATATCAAATGAGAAACATAGTTTTTATTCGAAAAAACTCAAAATCTTTATAATGATAATCCAAAATTAAAATTCAAATTATGGTAATATTAAAAAATATACAATTTTTATTTCTTTTTCGAACAATATTTCAGATGAAGAAATGTGGAAATGTCGTTTAGTCGTATATCGTTTTTTTAATTATTTTAGTCCTTAGAAAGAAATTTCATGCAAAATTATATTCACTAATGTTTTATATCATAAATAAAAATAAAATTATAGCATAGTAAATTGAGGAAAAAAATTAAAAAATTTAATATCTTCATAAATTGATTTTGTTTCTCAAAAATGAAAAGATTATTTTATTTTTTTGAATGCTGTTGATGAATATTTTCAAGTTTTAAGTCATAAAAATGTTGTACTAAATGTTGTATCCAAGGATTTTCATGACTTTTTTCTTATTTTAAACATCATCATTGAGCATTGTAGCTATGTAATATAACAATCATTACAGCACTCGTGTCAATGCTTTATTTCATTTTCCTTGTTTCAGAGACTTATCAGCAACTGAATTACGACGGAACATTTTTACAAATGGCACAATTTTGGCCACTGCGCCATTTATATCAGGTTGACGCCACAAGAGAACGGTTAAATCAACGACTGGATTAATATTCGAAGTAAATGTTAAAAGAAGAGTGGCGAATTCATTTAGTACTTCCAAATGTAAAGAGTTTGTAATGGAAGTTATTATTACCGGCAATACATATAGAATCAAAGTAAAAATACCCCAAATGCCCATTGTTACAGTAAGTCGACGTTGAATTTTCAGGTATTGAGCGGAATTTGAATTCTTCTAAAATAGAAATAAAATAGAAATATTCATAAATTGCTAGTTCTATGGTAAAAATGCATAAAAATTTAATTCTGAGACCGCCATTTTTTAAATTAAGATAATTAACCAAGCAGTTCAAAAATCCTCTTTCGAGCCATTTTCATTTAGAATGCTGTTTAAAATTTGCGAAGGACAACTTGGAAGGAACTTTTTTTCCGAGAGAATTCACTATTAATTTCTTCAATTACTATTATACAAACCTTTCGTTAAAGAGTCAATTGGAGGTAGAGTTACAGGTGCACTGCCAACACTTACTTATACTTCACTTTTAGTGCAACAACAATCTCTGTTACGGAGTGGGAGACGTAGCCCTACTGCAATTCAGTCCAACAAACATATCTAACAATTACTGCAGCTCTAATCTTATAAAAGTAACGGGCAAAGCACGAGATAAAAACTTTAGGAAAACTTTCATCGTGAAAGTGCTAAATGATTATCAAATATCAATTTGTCACTTCGAAAGAAATTTGATGTTAAATTGAGTTAGAAATAAGAATTTCAATGACAACATACGGTCATTCTTTCTGAAAAATAGCGTCGAGATATTGTCCAGACAATGGCATAAACAACAACGCTTGCACTTGAGCAAACGATTCGAATTACAAAAAATATTGTGTTGAACTCAGGTGCAATGCCAGATGCAGTCCTAAATTTACAAAACATTCTTAAAAAGAGTACTTTTCAATGGGAAATTCAGGAGAAAAATTTTGTAAAAGAGATTTTAAAAAATGCTATAGTGATTAAGTACTCAACATACCAACACATTGGCGAGTGTTCTAAGGCAACTTCACCCCATGAATGGATCCAGCTAGGCAAAACTAACGATGCCACAATTACCATCGCTATAGAAACCTAAAATAGTGAGCTCATTTCAAAACCCTATTTTCAATGAAAATTCAAATATAGAAACATAGAAAAACTTATGATAAGACTGGATATGAATTAAGATTGAATCCAAAAAAATAGTTATTAATTTCAGAAATTAATAGAAATATTGAGAGAGATGAGAGAAAAATGAAAGAAAACTTTGAGTATTAAAAGAAATAGCTTTGAAAGAAACCTGGCAGACTTGAAAATGGCGTCCATATTTACGATATTTTAGAGGACACACTAATGAAGACAGCCGGTCGACACTAATAATCAATAGAACCATAGCAGAAAGTGGCTCTGCCCTAAAATAACTTTTAGAAAAGTTCTTTGGTTCAGAATTTTTTTATTCAGTTATTTGTCTCCATTTTGCTTTTACTATTCTATTCTTATGGATTCTGAATGTATTCTTCAAACTGTTTTTTTTTTAATGATACTTTATGATATTTTTTTATGAATGTTTTTCATTTGTTCGATTTGTTTCGAACACTTTTAGGCAAGAAAATTAATCCACTGAAATCGTTATACCATATTTGCAACACATTCCAGGGTATCATTGCGCACTGCCGCATGCTACTTAATGACGTTGTATTGGTGAAAATAATAAATAATCGACCAAATCCCGCTATCATTTCAGCAAATGCCGTAATAAAATCAACAATCAACTAGAAAGAAAAATTGAGAAAATATTTAAAAAATAAAGTCAAAAGAAAAGTTTTGGAAATTTATGAATGGGATTTGAGAAAAAATGAATCACCGAATATATCGGTTAAACTAATATTTAAAACAATACTATAAGAAATAAATAAATCACGCCGGATACCCATCTCTATTTCCATTCCGACGTGGTTGTTTTCTGGCGAAGCTGCTATAGCCAATGCAGAAAGTTTAACTAGAAATGATGACCGCTAACTGCTGACTAGGTTTTTTCGAATTGTTTTGTTTTTAAATCGCAAAAATCATAACCTTGAAAAAAATGACCAAATATCTTCCGACCATCGATGATTTTATTAAAGCGACAGTAAATAATATGTTTACGCAAGATGCTGAAAAGCCTTCAATTGCGTAAAAAATAAATGAAGCAATCAGATTCATTCAGATCCTTAGATCCTTTTCTGAAAAAAATCCAAAACATTCTTGCTTTCTTTCAGAAAATAAAAGGCAATAAGATCGCCTTTTATAGCTCAAAATGGTGAGAAGAAAAAATAAATAAGTAAAATGATAAAATATCCAATATTTGTCGATTCTAGAATTCTAACTATATCAGACACCATAGTTGGGAAAATTGATAAATTTATAACTTTTCTATGCTTTGATAAGCTGATAGGTCACTACGCTGATTATAAAATACAATAATGAAAATAAAATCAAGATTTTTGGAAAAATTTCAATCTTTAATTAAAAGAGGCAAAAATAAATTATAATTATAAAAAGATGCTAACAAAAAATAAAGAAAAATGGAAATTAAAAGAGCTAAGCAAAAACGAAATCAGCCAATTTAAAGAATATTAGTGCAAAAAGAAAGTTATGAGCCAGCGTTTCCTTATAAAGAATTTTTTGAACAATGCAGCACTAATATAAGCAGATTATCGGTTTCTACACCTTAGTTTCTATTCAAACATGGAATAATCTGCCTTAAAATCAGAGTTAAGATGCTAATCCTGATTAATTTATCAAAAGAAGTAATCCAAAAATACACCTTATGAAAATCTTAAAGGCATTGAATTTACGAAAATAATCATTCTATATCATAATTTTATAAGTTTGATAATTTTAGATGGTTACTGGTAGGTCATTTTTCAAATCATAAGGCTTAATTCTAATCTTAAAAGGCCATCAAAAGTGAAATTCTGAATGTCGCCGAAAGAACTTAGCTGATTCCCCTTTGAAAGGATCTTATACAATCAATTAACTGATTAATAATCGAAAGCCTTGGCTTTTAAGAGACATAATGAGCGCACATAACTTATATAGTATACATAAGTGCAAAAAATAAAATATTTTTAAAAAATTTATTTTAAACTTAAGGAAAAAAGGGTAACATAAAACCAGTGAAATATTCGCGATATTCGTGTAATTGATAGCGGCGCTCCAAAAAGTCGTTTATATATATATAATTATAACACCCATTTTCAATGAAAATTTCATAACTTTTTGATTAAATGATTCTTTATTAAAATTTAAAATCTTCACTCATAAATAATCATTCATAATTTTGATCCATTCTTACGCCATTGCAGGCTTCGCCTTGGAAAATCATTTATGACACAATGACAGTTTTAATTTTATTTTTATTTTTTTCTATTTAATAAGTTTAAAAGAGCGAATAATTTTATTGGATGCACTGCTAATAATTTTGTCTTAGATTTCCGAATATTTATGACGAGGGATAAATTAATTTTCAGAAGTTCGTAATATTCATTGTGGTGTTTCTTGAAGAAAAGTTGTTATATTTCTTAACAAAGAAATAAAGATGAAAATAAAAAATAAAAAGAGACTTGCTAAATTTTCCATAGGTTTTTTGTTTCTATGTTATTTTGTTGGAATTTCTAGAATGAAGCACTTCGATGAATAAATTTTTAGACACTTCGGAACAAAAGGTGGATCCAATAAGCAACCTTTGACTCTTCGCTGCAGCCAAAAGAGGACAAAAGAGGACCTGGAACTATTAATGCAATATACGACTCAACTATAATAGTTGATTCGTTCAATTTCCAATATCCTTCAATTTTCCGATAAAAATAGACATGCAATCGAAACTGATAGATTAAAATTTGGATCGAAATAAGAGTAACCAAAAAGAAAAATGCTAATTCTAATGGAAAAATATTTTCATATAGGCTGGCTGTTGCTTGTCTGTCAATAAGCAGGACATCCAGCCGATTCTCGCTGAACGAAATCGGACTGACTTAACCTGAGGAAGAGATCTTGTAAAAACAGCACTGACTCACCTTAATCTTTTTATTCATAACTCAGTCCTCGTCCAGACAATCCCGAAAAAAATACATCACTTTTAATTAATAAACTGCTTATATCCGATTATCTAATTGATTAGCCGCTGATATGAGAAACCGCATCATATTTACCATATACATTCATTTATCAACCTCCTTTTATCGATTCATGGATGAACCAATTCTTTTTCTTCCTCAACTTGATATCGAATTAATCGTATTCATGAGACATATGATGCAATTAAAAGGAAAGAAATTAGGCAGTCAGAACTAATTTATGAATTAATCTTGAAAAAAAAAACTATGCAGTGCAATTATAATGCAAGGCTAAAGACAAATTTAGGCACAATTTTTTAAACTTTATTAAACATTTACAAAATTTATGCCATAACTTCCGTGTTCATCAATAAAAACAGAAATATATATCTCGTTTTCACAGTTCTGATACCTATTAACCAGTCTGTGCAGTCAAGCAAGAACTATAGTATGTGCTTAAAAAATTTAAATAACCACATTGTATGCAAAGTCAACTTTTCATTGGGACCAATTCCATTTTTCATGGATCGACTTTTATATCGATCAATTTTCATGCAATCGTTTCTACAAAAATCACCTGTATCACTTATTTTAAGACTGATTTTTATTATATGTTCACATAAGTTCACATAAGTTAAATCTTATCCATTTGCTTGGAAATGCTTTATTCTGTACTCTATTTCAAATGCATCAATTGATGACGACACTGATATGGAATCCGGAAAGATTTATTGTGGCCACGTAGCCATACATCCATGGATAAAACCATTAAATTTTTTAATATTTGACCACAAGACGTAAATCTCCATGTGACCCAGAAAAACTTAAACGTACGACAAGGTCGGATTCGAATGCTGCAGAAATCTTAAAACTAATCCAGTTGACGAAGACTTGTTTCCAACCGTTGAATAAATAAAAGTAGCGTTTCCTCTTCGAAAAATACAGTGAATAAATTATAATAAATTAATAAAATCATTTTTCATTGAGAAACCATTGTGAATAGAGAAAACAAGGACGAACAAAAAAATTCTGGCCTCACAAGATTTATGCCATGAATAAATAAATAAAGCGACACCTTTATATAAAGGTATAACGAAACTAAAAATACCGTTCACCTATATAAAAATTCAAACTTTCCTAAAAGCTTCCTTAAAATTAACTATGGAGCATTGCAAAAAAATGCAGTTGACAGTCAAAACAAATAAAACAATTTCAAATGGCAAATACTCATAGGTGTATTGGAACTAAAACATATTAAATATGTACAAATATTTTAATAAAATGTCTCCTTTAATAATAATTAATATTAGGTTAAATTAAAGGCTAAAACCTTTAAGTCATTAATTAAGCTGGAAATGCATCCCCAAAGATCCTTCTTTATACTTCAAGCTAAACGATTGACACAGATCAAATGACATAGTGAAATAACCTTGAAAATATCTTACTGAAACAACCCAGTGATCTAAACATCAACAGGTACTTCTGGAATGACTGGTGAGATTTGGTAAATCTACATTGTGTTCGGATAGGAGCAAGCTGGAAGAAACGATCCGTAAGATCATTACCGCATCTTGGAAAAGGTTCGAGAAGATCATAAAGATTATTGAACGCTTCAAAGGTTCACCGAGGAAAAAAAAATTATCAATAAAAGTGGCTTGGCTTTGAATTTGGAGATGGCTACTCGAGAAGGCGACAGTCCATCAACTTCATAAATTAATTCAAGAGGTCAGTGAAATGACTGATAAGAGTGGTACCTATAAGGGCTCTCAAAGATCGCCTCTCACGATAAACTCCATTCCTAATCCCGAAAATAGCTGAAATGCATTTAGAACTATATGTATGTAATTACAAGTTGCTGGCAAAAAAAAAAAACAAACTCTTTTATTTATTTAGGTAACGGCCAATAAAATCCCTATAGAAGATGCAAACATTTCAATTGCAATTCAGCGTTCTTTTGTTTTATAGTATTCACTGGTATTTAAAAAAAAACGAACACTTGACACTTGACGATTACAGTCTTGCACTGACAATCTTGTGACAATTATCAAGAAATTAGAGAAATTTTCATCTTTTTTCTGCCTAGATTAAGACAAACTTAGATTTCGACGAGACGGCCTAAGCAAGCTGAATTTGGAGTGTTTCTGACCAAATATTAAACGATAAGGTTATTAAACCATCGCTCAAAATGTCTAAATATCAAATATCCTGTCCATATATCCTTGTTAATTTAATTGATTTCGCTCTAAAACTCTGAAGAATGAAGCCGGTGTAATGGAACATTATTCGACTTATTACAATATTTTATCAGAGTTTTATGTAAAAAATTGATATGCCCTTCTTATTGATATAAGAACTACCCGGTTAAGTTCTTTCTCCTACAGTGCTCAATTGTCACTTAGACTACTTGCAGTGCCTATGAGGTTTCCAAGTCAATTATCACAGCTCTTGAAAGCCGACGAGGTAGCCCTTTTTGCTGATAATTATGTTAAATGGTAACAGAAATAAGCTGTACTCGATAAATGAAGCGTAAAACTTTATCAATGTAATAAGCCTGAACGTCACATGTATCAGACTAAAAAAAAAAATTCTTTACTTTATAAATTCATAGGTGGATATCTTGATTCTGGATACCTTGGATCCAATTTTTCAGGAAATGGCTAAGCGAAAAAAGAAATTTCAGCCTGGATAGCTCCAGCTAGAAATAGCTTCCATCTCGCGTAATCTCTGCACCATCGCGAAATCAATATCATCTGTTTAATCAAAGTAATCACTACACTGCGCATTTTAGAATGCGAAATATGACCAATAAGGGTGGAAGATATCAAAAAGCAATCTATTTGTAATCATTTATGCGTTAAATCAATATTTCTATTGATATAATTTAACCAAATCCACTCAAATACTACCTGCATTAATAAGATCATCAAAAATTGGCTCTACATTGACTTAGTCACATTCATTCTCGTCCATATTAAGAACTAAAATATATCTCGTTACATGCTACATCTTATGAATGGTATCAAATGGAACAAAACCAATTACGATGGGGACCGATATAATCCAATAAGATTTGGAACTTATAGGAGTGGCTTCTACAATTTTCACATCTGACTTTGTATCGGATGACTTGGAAATGGTCGTTGCCAGTAAATAATAAGGTGCGAGCTGTTAGAAGACGAAAAAGAAAAAAAATTTATAGTTCAAAAAGAAAGATGCTTCTCATTGGAAAGCAATATTAAGCAGTTGGTACGGTTGTAGTGGCACTGATAATCTGTCCCAAACATCTACCAAATTCTTGTAAAAGAGCTCTCTCCATCTCTTCATCAGTCATTTTTTTGGCTGATTCAGCTGCTTCCGCACGTGAGACTAAACAAAGTGTCGTCGCTTCAATCACTTCATCATTTATATAAAGCCATGGCAAACTGCAAATAATAAAAAACTAATCTTAAAAAATTATGTAAAAATATTTTATTCATATCGTGTAAGTATCGTTTGAATTATTAATCAGAAATTATATACAGATATTATTAAGATATTATTCTGTAACCAATGGATTTCGACAGGTAATTTTTGAACGATTTGCTAAAGGAATAATTCTAAAAAATTCACCTTCTTCCATCTGCATCAGAATCTTGGTCGCTTTCTTCATCACTAAAGGGAGAATTGGTTGTACGATTTGTATCTAATAAAGATTCATTTAATGGCCCAGCATCACTGGTCGGAATAAATTTTGCAGGAAATTTTGCCGCTCGATCATTCTCAGTATTGCGACAGCTAACACATTTACATCGCTCTGTGCATGGTACTTTTGCCTAAAAACACAAATATAAATTTAATATATACTAACAATATCCAACAGGAATATGCATATCGCTAAATTTTTATCATCGGATACATATTATAGCGATTATTTCTATAATAAACTTTAAACTTTATGAGGAAATAATAACAAGATAAATTGTTAAATGCTAAATTAGTATTTTAAAAATTAGTATTTTAGTTGAAAAAATTTAGTTTTTGAAAATCATTATCATCGCCAGTTATTAAATGATAGATTCAAAAAAATCATTTGGATATAAATTCACAAAATCAAGCGAAAGATAATTACAGATAATTACAGATAACAGATAATTTCTAATGCTAAATAATAATAAAAATATGATGATAATAATAATAGTAATGATAATAATAAAATAGTAAAAAAGTTTCCAAAGCTCATTGTAAAACATTTTAAAAAAATATTTTTTTGAAAATATAACTTCATAGCATTCACAGTAATTTTTTAAACAATTTGATTTTCTGCAGTGGCATCCTTTTTGATGAAGCCTTTCAGAATCAATTCGGCCTCTCGATGCAATTCCTAAGAAAAAAATTTTAAAAAAATTGAATTGAATTAAAAATCTTAATTAATTAACGAACAAAATGTTTAAAGTATAAGAAGAGTAGCTGTTAATTATATTTCTACCTCAAAATGTGTGGCTGAAAGACAATCTAAGTATCGTATTTTGAAGAGAAGGCAGCCAAGGTTATTTCATTTAAGCAGAAAGTCGTAAATGAATAAAAGATGCAGATACCAATTTTTGGCTTAAAAGCATTTGGGTTTCTCTCAAGTGACGCTTTAATTGCTTTAGAACGTTCCACTTCATGCTCTAAATTATTATGGCAAGATTTGCAATTACAATCTTTGCAGAATTCACCATTTGCGAAACATTCACAATACAATTTTAAACACATGGATTTTGTACAATTGCACGGCTTTTTATTACCAATCCCAGCAGGTTTCCTGAAAATAATTAGTGAAAAAATAAAAGCAATTCAATAAAAAATAAAAAAACTATATTCGGTTCAAAAGTGAGGGATAACTTTTTGTTAAGTATACTAAATAATTGTTAAGTATACTAAGTATACTAAAATAATTCGATACCACAAAAAAAAAATTTAATACTTTTTTTCAGCAAGTTTTGGATATTGAGAAGGTAAAAGTCGACTGGTTTGAAACGCCTTTGCACGATAAGAAGCAGAAACTGCTGGCGCAGGTCGATGAATAGTTTTGACCGTAGTATAAAATCGTCTTGCTGACTGATAATCCTCAAAATAATCATATAAAACTGAAAAAAAAATTAATTAATTTAATACAAAAAATTTAACACAAAATTTAATACAAAATTCCTTATTAATAAAAAAGAATTACATATTACATATAAATTAAATCAAATGTATCACTTCAATATTAACTTTCAACTAAAAATTACCTGTTGTGGTTGAAACAAAGGGTCGGCTGTCCTTTGTCCCGTAGTAGAACGAATAAATGTGGCAATACCACTGGATTTATCCACACGATAGACCTAAAACCAAAAGTGCAAGAATCGAAAAAGTAAAATTTCATTCATGTTTCATTTATAAGTGTTTTGAAGGCAGTAAGAGCTAAAGAAAAAAATTTAATAGTAAGCAATAGCCTTTTCAAAGCAAAAGTATAAATTTGCGCAGAGCGTCCAACTTCCATTCAAACAGTGATATTTTTCTTTGGAAATCATGTTATTGCAATTCACAATTATATTATGAGAGAGACTGAATATTTACCTTATTGCCCCTGATTGCAAGCATGTATTGTGGTGATTGAGGCCTTTGATAGTGAGATTGATGCATATATGGAGCGTTAGAAAAATCAACATCCGACTGAAATTTAATCTAACTTTTCTATAAGCGACTATATATTTTAAAAAGTAAATTTGGGGAATAAAATTTAAAAACTTAAAACTTGAACCAAAAATGATCCAATCTATTGGAAATAACCATCGATTCTCATTCATAAAAAAATTTACATGAACATATATATGAAAATATTGAAATTTATAATGAAGGTAAAATAAAGGCGAATTGAAATTATTTCTTTAAAAATTTCTGAACCAAGGTCCATCGATAACTGCGCAAGCAAAGACATGATAATAAAATTGAAGTGTAGAGCTTGTATCAAAGGTACAAAAATTAATTACGAAAAGATTTATCGATAGAATTTCCCTGTCAAATTAATAAACATTGACAAAATAAACAAATAAACAATGAAAACCTGCGAACGATGCGAGAAATTATGGTATGATGGTCCAGGTACATTTCTTGCATTACTAGGCACCATATACTGATAATCGCCTTCTTCTAAAAATGGTAAATTAAGAGAGATTTTGAGACCTCATTAATTTGTAATTGAATTCTATGCCAACAATTATCAAATTTAAAAATTTTCTAAATAAATAAATAATAGATTTAACGAAGAACTCAGAGATTTTAATATTATAAATTTATTTACTCAATTCTGCCAATATTAACTTAATTTCAATGAATTGACAATTTTTGTAAGAATAAACAAATCCATAAGAGATTTTAAAAAACTACCTGGAACATAATCCATATCTTCGACATCAACTTCAACCGCATCCATTATCACTTCATCGCCATCGTCAACTTCCACCATTTCTTCATAAATCTTAAGATAAAACAAATGATGCGTTAAAATTCCACGAATTCATAAGGCATCTAACCAACTGGGTACTAGTGACTTGAAGTAACATTCGTAGTTGGAAATTTTTTGCAGCAAAATTAAGATAAAAAAGACAGTAACCAGTGAATTTGAATCGAGCCTCTTTTAAAGCAATTTTTGATAATTTTTTTTATTGAATTTCATCCTTCAAATTTTTAATGTACCTTAATAAAGCAAAAGAATAAAGAGAATAAAAGGAATAAAAACAGTGTTACTAATCAAAATGATAACATCAAATAACAAAAAAGTCGCTATTACAGCCGCGAATCAAACTGGCACTGATAAGATCACAGTTTCTACAAATGCAGCAATATAGATTCAAAAAGTATCAGATTTAAATATTTCCGATTCAATCTTATAACTAATAGCAAGAAGAAAAATGAAATTTCAACTCGGAAGTGCTCTCTCTCTCTCTCGGAAGTGCCCTATTCAACGAAACCTTTTTAAAATCACAAGAAATTTCAAGACGAATGGCGAAAAGCCGCCCAATGAAACCAAGGAAGAATCTGAAAGTAACCTTCCTATTACTATCTAACGTTTGTTCTTCATATCTGCCAAATTGAAAAAATCTCATAATATTTCCTTCGCTCGAATGCATTAAGAATATCATCAGAAATTATCACCCGTGCCAGTATTTCTTTATGGCTAATGCATACCTTGCTAAACCCCATGATGGATAAGTGAAAATTAAAAAGTACCGAACAATTAACCTGATAAGGCCAAGCGATTTTGGAAGTTTAGAGAGGAAATTTAGATATATATGGGATTAGAAAGTGGGAAAATGAATTAAAACTTGAAACTTCAATGAATTTTCAAAAATTAAATGTAAATAAATAAAATAAGATTTTAAAAGAAAATCAAAATGTTACAAAAATTATTACTTCAGAATCGTCGTCGATTATTTCTTCAACAACTTCTTCGTGAGCTATTTGTCTTTCATCCATTGTTTAAGCCCCTAAAACGAATCATTTTAATTCAGACGTACAATGGTTGCAAGCTGCACACTTCCACCTCGAGCCCGAACTAGATTCCCTAACCCTCCCTGAAATAAAACGACAAAAGCCAAATTATTCCCGCAAATACCATCAAATTTTTGGCTCAATTCCAAATTTCAATGGTACAAAATTTTCCACTTTATGAAACACCAATTCAAATAATTTCCAACGTAACAACATAAAATTATTAGGCGCAGCTCAAGTAATGAATTGATGCAGCGAAATCAGAAAAGGTATGAAATTCCGTTAGAAGAAGAAATTTGTAAAGAAATCTTTAGAATTCAATTTTTCAGGTCTAAGATTAAAGCATAAACCCAAATAAACATTTTCACTTTGTGGAACTTTAATGCAGTTAATAATCAAACTTCTGCCTTTGCAACATACAATTAATAGTCAGACTACTGATTATTAATAGTAAAAGTAATATAATAATAATAAATAATAGTAATAAATAATAATGAATAATAATAAATGGTGATATTAATAAATAAATAATAACAATTGCTTAGCATTTCGCGAAAGCATTTAATTCTACAATTTTTCTTAGATTTTAATTTGCCTAATCGCCAATTTATTCGCCGAGAAATTGTGATTTTAACAATAGAATTAATGAAAAAGCATAAAGCATGCTTCTCTTCGAAAATTAAACAGTCCAAATGAAAAATTAAGAAATTATTCTGATTTTTATTACAGTTCATAAAATTTGCCAAATAATTATTTTTGCAGCAAAAATTCAAATTTCGTCAATTTTGAGGAAATTATTGTAAAAAACTTTCCAATTTGTGAATAATTATGATAAATGAAATATAAAAAGATATGATGCAAAGAAATTTTCATTTCCTTGGTTATTAGTTATCGGTTATTTTCTTATAAACTGAAAATTTGCATTAGTGTAGTAATTTGCGCAGATTCTTCTTTTATATTTCTTAATATTTAAATTATGAATTGGTTTAAAAATATTTTAAAATATTTGAAATGCCAAATTCATCAATCGGTTTACGAGAAGTCATCTTTTGCTATTGATAAGAAAAGCCAATTATTGATAATTATTGACAAGAAAAGCCAATTGTTCAATATTTTACATTGACCAACAAAAACCAGAAAATATGCAACTGGAATTTGCACGCAATTAAGGATGCACTTGGTGAATTTTAAATTTCTCTGACAAAATTTGTCGGATCTTACAAGCCAATGAAGTGCGCTTAACCATAAATGATGGGGAAAAAAAATTTCTGTTTCGTAAAAAGAGTGAAAAAGGAATAGACCTGAGTGGAATGCAAGTCAAATAACGATATCTGCTGATAATGTATCTCCAACTCCAAATCACCAGTTTGGTCCAATTAAATGACTTTCAAAAACAGTTGACAGTTTCCAACACAAATTCGATGATTTATGGCGTTGCTTGCAACAAAATATCAAAATCTACGAAATATTAAAACAATAAGATAATGTTCGAGTAAATTGCCTTAATTGTGCCAATGATTAATTGATTATGAAAATTTACGGATTTGTGCGAAAGAAGAAACCGGACAAAATCTAATACGAATAGGGAAAAGGGTTAATTTCAATAATTTCATCTCGACGACAAATAATTCAAAAAAATAGGCCATTTTAAATTTTTTTATTTCGTTAAATTTCGTTTCATAGTTAAATATTGTTTGTCAAAAATTGCTTTCAGATAAGAAACTTCTGGGTTTTGGGCTGTAGCTAAAGAAAACGAAATAGCTCGAACTCCAAATCCAGCAAAGAAAAAATATTCGAATGATCGATACAGAGATTTCGCCCTAAAGTTTTACTTTTCAATTTTTTGTTGCTTCGGTTTAATTTTTCTTCACTTGTTTTTGCTTATTTCGGAACCCAGTCATATTTTAGGAAAGCTCATTGTTGGTTCCAATTCAACATGTGTTGATTTTAGGGTAGAGATTGATTGCTGTCGTTCTGATAACTGTATGTCATGAATACCACAAATTTGTTTTACTGCATTTTTTTGATTTTTTGGTTTACAGTTTGGTAAAAAATTATTACCCACCATTCGTCTGGTCTATTGCCTGCGAAATTTTCGCTAGGAATCAATTGAGAATAGAGATGACTGTTCAGTTATTTGAATTTTTTGATTTAGGTTTACTTCTATTAAAAGCGGAAATGAAGTTTTAGCACTCAAAGCGATAATCTGGGAAACGACCGTTCACCTAATTTACTGCAGTATAGAAAAATAGTAGCTGATTTGAATCAAAAATTGAAAAAAAAAGAAAATTTCACTATTTTTTTGAATTGATAATTAGGCAATTATCGAAAATACTTTTCAATTCCTAGTTCAGAATTCGCCACAGAGTTCACTCCTGATTTATTTTAATTAGTTGACATATCTGAAATATTACAGCACGCACACCGCCCTACATTCGTTGGATTTTTTCCACTTCACAATAACACAATTTATCGATATTTCAGATGTACAAAATATTACTTTTTTGTTTTATCGTTGCTGAAAGTGTTTTTTCAATTAAAACTCCGAATTCTGATAATGTTAGACTGGTATGTTCATTGCATAAATG